CCCCCCATCCCCCCTGTACCGCTTTTCTTTTACTCTCATTTCAAATATCCCTTGAACTACGTTTAAAAGTAAGCTACTGTTTTAAGTGTTTATATTTCTTTCCATAGAATTCAGTAACTATACCATCATGCCCTAAATTAATGAGATAAATTCTTGGAAACGGATTTATATAAGTTATTTCAACTTGTTTCCGGATCCCATTCCTCTGTACTTTGTATGTTATGTGATGTAATGCAACTTAAATTGGAATGAAATAAAGTTTATATTAACCATGTTTCGCACGAAAGTGTTTTACGAATGTGTTTTTTGAATTGCACTTTCAAGTTAATAACGAATCATATTTTACGAATGAAAAGATAAAGCTAACATATAAGTGACACATTCAGATCCGGTAAACATTTGTTGTGCAGTTTTTGACATCGTTATACGACGGGAAAATATTCTGCAATGGTTTATATTTATTCCTGTTCCATATTAACAAAGAAATGCTAGACATTTATTGTTTTCTTATAACTTTTTCATTTTTTTTTTTTTTTTACTAAACATTAACAAAACAATATCAGCATATATGCATATTTTCATCGTTATACAAACACACACGTGCTTACATACGAATGAACATACCTGTACATCTTATAAAGTGATGTATACCACAGTACTTTGATAACATTAAAATTAGTTTTATCATTTCTAACAGAGATAAAATATTCTACAATATTTTTATATATACATGTATCTACGAAGGACTGTTTATGTTTGACAAATTTTATTCTATTTTATTGATTGATTGATTTTGTTATTTTCTGATAAAACATATAAACATAAACACGCACGCGTAACTACATACATAAAACTATACAAGTAATATATATCACAAAACATGGATAGCATTTTAATAAGCTTATCATTTTGAACAGGGATGAAAATATTCTATAACAAATTGTACATCCTTGCATACATCTATGGAAGTAATATATATTACAAGACTTGATATCATTTAAATTAGTTTTATCATTTCGAACAAACAGAGATGAATATTCTTCAACAATTTATGTATACACCTTTTTCTTACTTTCAACGTAATGTAAGACACTTATTTTTTCCGTTTTCATTTACAGCACAATACCAAAATATAGACACATTCAACATAGTTGTACAAACACAAAACTACCTGCATATTCATATCTATAACACATAAAGTCATTTATCAGTTTATTTACTTTTCCATTTCTTAGTTAATATGGAATAGGTAAAAATATAAACTGCTGTAGATTATTTTCCCGTCGTATTATGATGTCGACAACTGCACGACAAATGTTCGTAAAACACTTTCGAGAGAAACATGGTTAATGGTACATTTGTATGATCAATAATGTAAATCGTTAAGTATTGATCTTTTTAATTATCTATATCAACTTCAAATATGTTATAAACAGAGCTCTTATTTTAAGGCAGCTTTCTGGTTGCGGACGGATTTTGACATATAACACATGATGCTAATTAAAGCGTGCAATGGTACACGTTACAAGACCGTCGGCACGCCACGATAAAATATTTGTACACGGGATATTTATTCACCAAACCACACGTACGTCTCGTGATTAACGTATACTGTGATACCTTCGCTTGCATCGGTCTTAGTTGATTTAAAACCCCAACAGAGAGATCACTAATAAATAAAGAGGCATTCTCCGAATAAAAAACGAAGACACATTTTTATAATCATTTAATTTAATTGATCTGTTTTTACATATAGTTCAGAATATTTCATTAAAAAAACGTATATGTTAGTTTAATTGCAAACGAAGCCGTTGTTATCTAATCAGACGGTGACCGGAACCGGGCGGAACAAACTCCCGGGCAACAATGCCTCGTGCAGATTTGCAATTCCGTTAGGACGATTAAACATCACAGTTGTGATAGAGATAAGTTGAAAGAACTTGTTTCATAATTGTTGTAAACTAAATAAAGTTTTTACATACAACTCCTACGTATTAACGGTGTGACATAAGTTGCTAATTAAAGTGTGAATCGGAAGGCTACAAGACCGCGGGAACGCCACGGTATAATGTTTGCACAATATCTGTTGAGCAGGTTCAGACCGCGAGTAGATCGTATGCTGTATTATCTCGAATTACATCTTTCGAGTTGGTTGAAAACCCAAATCGAGATCACTTATGAAGAAAAAGAACATGTTTGGAATAAAAACTAACACATATGTATCTATTATCATTTAATTTAATTTAATTCAATTCAAAAAAATAATTACTCGAAAAACTATCAAAGGTAGCACCGACGGGGGTATTTAAGGAATTAGTTTGTAGATGCAGAATGCCAAACAAAGTATAAGTGTTACTGCATCATATAACCATTTCGTCCATTTTGGATCATCCAGTGTGTCGAAACATATATAGACATTTGTAAAAACGGGGTGAGGGACATTTCTTGCGAACTGTACCCTTATAAAATCACATCTTGAATGTCCTTAGCTGTTGATATGATTTTAAACCCTGAACAACTAACCGTAATAAATTCTAGCTGCTAGGCTAAGGTCAACCTCGGGGACTGATGGTTCACCAGCAGAAACAACCATCTTATTCCATTAAATAATTGCATAGTAATACGAAGAAGAAAGCGCATTTGTAAAAATGAAGTTCGTCGAAAGCTAAAAGGCTAAAGAAAATAGTGATAAGCAGCACCATATGTCCATTTCGTCCATGAATGACTCAACAGTGGTACAGGTGAAAAGAATGAAATTGTATTTAAAAATTGTGTACCAAACAGGTAGAAATAAAGCACAGAGGAAATGTGTCTTTAAAAGCCTTGATAACATTACACCATTTAAATACAAAACATAATTCACACATAAAGAAGTATTTAATGTTAACCGTACCAAAACAAAGACTACCTTCAAGCTTACACCCAACCTCGGGGATTATTAGTCCATCAGCGGAGTCAACCATCATGTGACATAAAAAAAGTCTCTAAAAGGAAAATTAAGTTTTGCTTTAACAAAACTATCAAAATAATTCAACCCGATATATTGTTTGCATATGTAGAATAAAATACTTTGATAATACTAATATTGTAGCAAATGGCAAGTCATTATTTGATGATACAAGTATAAAACAACACCTCCATTTCAGGTAAGCGGCAATAGGTCAAATGTCAAATACTTTTTCTTCTTTTTTCTTGCTGTAGATGTGGGAGTCCAAGTCCAGCGAGATACGTGCCGAACAGGTAAGTGAATGTCCACAACGACAAAGCTAACTCGGTATCAACTATCCAGATAAAACAAACAGTGTTCTGTAGATATGTTAAAGTATAGAAAAGGTGAAAATAACCACAAACAACAACTGTGAATGTAAAAACGTCTTGGCAAACAATTTTAATGTCGTTGAAATAAACAATACAAATATATCTATTTTATTTTTTTGTTAAGCTTAATTGTATTTGGTAAATGTTTCTTCTTTCTACTCTAAACAGTTGGGTTAGCAAGGTCATCGTTAACTTACACTTGCGAGTTTGGTCCAGGGTCAACTAAGTGATGTGCAGTAAATGAAGTATTTTAAAAATGTCTGTTTTACTATAATTGTTTGGTAGACAGTTTCTAATAAATTACAATCCAAAAACAACACTAATAAAAACAGATACCTGTTTGATCGCTCACCTCTCTAAACAAAGTATTGTAAGTCTTAAGTCTAGACATCGTTACCTATAACAGTATGTCTTAAGTCTAGACACCGTTACCTATAACAGTATGTCTTAAGTCTAGACACCGTTACCTATAACAGTATGTCTTAAGTCTAGATACCGTTACCTATAACAGTATGTCTTAAGTCTAGACACCGTTACCTATAACAGTATGTCTTAAGTCTAGACACCGTTACCTATAACAGAATGTTTTTTTCAGACTGACAGAGCAAAGCCTTCGTCAAGGTATCACAGTACGATACCCTAGTAAATACAAAGATCGCAGTAACATCGCAGGAATGAAGGCGTACTTGGTCAAACAGGACGAACAAGGCCACCTGTTAACAGAATACGATTCTCTTGGTATTGGGAAGCACGAGACCCTAATTACAGGTATATACGATATCCGAGTTCCCCCAGACCGTGACCAGGGAATGAGGGCGTTCGAGTTTAACCCCGGTGACTGTGATGATGTCACGGTTCGTCTGACGCTGAAGGATATGAACCCCGTTCAAGGTCATCAGAAATACACAGCCCATATTAAAGTCGACGGAGAGTGGACAAAAACATCAGCCTCGTATCAGGTACGAAATACATTCAAGGAAAATAATTCATTCTCCGTACATGCCTTGTGGTATTCGTGGAAATAGTCTTATGTGATCCAGTCCTGGTGAGATAAGGAGTGTGCAGTGTCTAGATCTGGCGGAAATACTACATGCTCCAGTGTTGAAAAAGTCAATTTTCAAATCGTGTTGAAGTATATTATCCATGATCCAGGACATGATACAGAGTACAAGCATAATCAAAGAAGAAAATGCTCCTGCCCTGGTGGAAACTGTCCCAATCCGCGTCTTGGTCTTAAAATAGTTTCTGCTCCATTACTTTTATTTTAGATGTATGAATCGTTACGTCAAATATCCATGTCATGTATTCGAAATGACAAACGTCTGTTAATTTCGTTAACATAATTAACACGTTTAATACTGATACGTTCATTCATGAGTTAGAAAATATATGATGTGAACAGTCCCATGTTTATTACACAGTTTTTTTTATAATATATATTTATATTGGAAAACTTTTAATCATATTATTTTTTTACTTATAATTCTAAAGTCACTTTCAACAATTTCCACAAATTGTTCCGATGTTAGCATCTTGCTTACTTTGCTTTTGATAGTACGAGTAAACATTTATAGTCAAAAACGTATTTTTTGTCTTTTAACTTGTATGAATTCCTATTGCAGAGTGGTACCATTGCTTTCAACGCTTCCAAAATAGACACGTTCTGTGTTTCGTGTACGCCATTTAGTGAGGAGTTTGAGGTGACGCCATCTGGTGGATGTTTCAAATCGAAGCACAACCCAGCCGTGGAGATACAATTTCCCGAGAACTCGGTGAACAAGACCGAGAAAATAGACGTCCAAGTATGTATACCGATCATCTCAATATGTATTCAAACACAATTGAGTACGTTTACATTTGTTGTAAGTGTTTGTTAGCAATACATCATCTAAGTGTATGAACGTATAACACGACATCATACAAATGTATACCGAAGAATACCACCTATGGCTCACCTGTTTGGCCCTCTGTATTGTGATAAATTTAACCATTTCTGCGAATATTGTCAGCCTTTTATGTAGGGCATTTTGTTTGTTTTTAAAAAGCTTAAACGAAGCTTCATTAAACCAACAATAGTGTTCTAAGTGTAACAAGTTGCCGAAGCTAGACCAGGATTCGAGCCCTTGACTTCTGATTGTTTTACTACTATTCTAACCCCCCGAGCTTCCTGGCCAATGGAAGTACTTATGCCCAAATGTGCCACAGTTAAATCAAATACGAAATTAAGGGGAGGTCACTGTGCATATTAAAAAAACATAGTGTTGTGTGAAGAAATTCTTAAACCCTGTTAAGACACACAGTTAATATGATTGATTATGAAATCGTATGTTACAGATTCTGCCAGTTGACCTGTCGAGGGTAAATGACGGACATGAACCAACTGATGACGCCAGGAACATTTTGGCGATAAGTGTCTGTGTTGAAGTACTACACAGCAAAGATTTTACTCTGCTGGCACCGGCCAGAGTAAGTCTGCCCCTCAACGTCGACAGCGGAACGCGGACCGACAAGTACCACTTCGTGGACCTGCACTGGAAAGATGACGGGGAAATCAACATCGAGCCGACGGGACGACGACACCGCGATATCAAAACAACATCAACTGGCTATAACGTCACGTTTGTAGTCTATAAATTCACCGGGTAAGTATATTCAATAGACATAGCAGCCTTTGTACGCTTTCTTACGCTTTTTGGAAAACAAAGTTTACAGTTATCTTTTGACAATAATGCTCATCAAACTATTACATAAAAGTGTACTGCTGTAGTAATGTCGTCATTACTATACTACGTTCTAGAAAACATGGTTTACAGTTATTTTTGGCAATATTGCTCACAAAGTTATTACACGAATGGTATTGCTAGACTAGTGATAGCAATCACTACAGTACTGCTTTCTAGGAAATATATTTTACAGTTATTTTTGACGATATCACTTGTTAAGCTGTACATTAAATTGTATTGCTTACTAATATTATCCGTCAATAAATACCAAAATCAACCAATACCGAATTAGAATGTTAGATTGTTCGATTGTGCTAGGGTTATTCAGTAATTCATGTTAAAGAACATAAGTGTTTTACATCTCAATGCTAAATGTTTTAATCCATGGATCAAGTCATTTGATTAAGTAATTGCCCATATATCAATACTTCATGTAAATATATACTTCAATGAACGAATGATTTAGTCAAAGTTATATTCAATAGCCTGTGTATATACCATTCAGTCAGCGAATGATTCAGTCATATTGATAGCAATAGCCTGTATATGTACTAAAAGCATGAGAAACGCAGGGTAAAATATGCAACACTTATTTAACTGCTTGCCTTAACATTATAAAAAACGGTCAAACGAGGATATGTGTTAGTATACATTCAAAGTACCGTGCCACATAATGAAAGTGTTAAAATGCAACAGAATAAATAAGAATGACAAGATCGTCCACACATCGTTTAATACCACTAGAAACACATCGCTTTCCGCTATTTACTGTCGACTTGAATCTCTAGCAATCATGGTGCGGCTGACGGAAGTTCAGGGGGTCAGTTTATTGCATTGCTAATGCAGGGTCAAAGGCAACAACAGGTTGCTATGCAGTTCGATGTGAATGCTTCCACCATAGAACGGCTTGTCCGTCGTCTTAGAAAGACCGGAAGGGTTGCCGACCGACCGCGATGCCCCGCTAATTTCGACCAACTAAAGACATTAAATCACCTCAAATGTTTACCCCTTTTCTTTTTCCTTTCAATACTACAATGTTGTATATAATTCAGTGAGTGAGTGATTCAGTCATAGTTATACATTTGTATCTTATATAATATAATACATTTTTTTTTTAGTCGACAACTTGCATTAGTACACAAGAAAGCCACGCCAAAATACATCAAGACAGCTGCTAGGGCAGCAGTAGGAGTGAAAACCAACTGTAAGATTCTGGTGTTTACTTCTGCCAGTAACACTAGAACGAGGACAATGCGGTTCGATTGTGTGCAGTTGAGGAGAATAAAGAAAGCAGTAGAGGCCTGTGAAGAGCTTGGTCTTGCCGAGTTACGGCAATGTAGGTCCACTGAATTTATGATCGGTGAAGGGGAGAGAATCCGAGTGGACATTAGTGGGTGTGGACGAGTCCAAAAGGAGGTATCGAAGGAGCACACGTTTATCCCGTTCATCGGTTCGATGTCGGATAACTATATTTCTATACCTATTGACATTGTCGAAGCTTTTGGTAGGTCGGTCTACGTAATTCTGAACTTCACACTGATTTCGAGCGCCAAAATTGTAGTGCATGGTGCTCATTTTGATCCCCTAACGGCAGTTAGAAGACCAAGGCGTAAACGATCGAGGTCGCCCAACTGCCAGGCAGGTAAATGTCGATATATCATAATATTCACAATTTCTATCTTGCATTTGAAAGTAATTTGATCAGTTCTTGTTTTCTGTTATTACAATATACCGCTATGATTTGTTATCTGTTTAAATCAGACAAGAATGAAACTACTTTCTCGGGAATGATCGAAAATCGGACGACCAAGGTCTGAGTATATTGTTAGCATCAAGATTGTTTAAATGACACATCAAACTGATCTTAGCGTAAAGATCTATTTGAAAAACATCAATGTTTGTTTAATATTCGATTTCGTTGACTAAGCTTTGGTCATGTTAAGCACATAACATATTTGTTGGGGGGGGGGGGGGGGGTCGCAATGAAGATTTAGGTCAATCGGTTGAAGATGAAGGGTCAAAGGTCATACCTTATTACTTTGTACAAACATTACTAGAAATACAAAGTAAGGAAAATCCTCTTAACATTCAATATGTCGATGTAGCTATCATATAAACCCATCTACAATTTTAATTAATAGTTGCATTTTTTTAATAAAAGACGCTGCAACATGGGGTACTACGCCCAATTAAGTTATAGTGCTCATTATTCAAAGGTCACGTTCGACCTCTTATGGGATAAATCTGTTTAAGCCTATCTCGTTATTTAATTGCTAGGATCATGTCGGATGGCACATAACACAAGCTTTTATGTTTTATATCATCCTTTGCTTTCGAATTTGTCCCTGTGTGTTGCATGTATTTCGTGTTCTATTGAAGTGTAATTGTAACAAAAAAGGTTACAGAAACCTACACCATACGTTTTATCATTATTTATTATATTGTTGTTACTTTTTGTAAATCAATATTGACTGGTCCTGTTTTCTTTAACATTTCTTGAAGGATCAAATGGCAATACTGAACGAACCGATCGACGTTACTCTGCCCAGGAATGTCCTCAAATCGCAGTTCGGGGTAAATAAGTAAAATTGATCTGCTATAATTTGTTACTTAAGAATGATATTGAAAACGTTCTGATATGTATTTTATTACGACTGCATAAGTAGGCCATGAGAGTATCAGAGGTCATGGTATTTAACGAAGTTTTAGATAATGTTGTATGTTTTTTTGGCAAATGAAAATAGTGTTAGGCAAGTCATGACATTTTGTTTTTAACGGTATACATAATAGCTTGGCAGTGTGATGTAAACAATGTTCTTATGGGGTTATCTATGACAGTATGGGGTAATCTGTGCCATTATGAGGTAATATATGACAGTATGGAATAATCTATGACATTATGAGGTAATCTATTACAGTATAAACTAATCAATGACAGTATGGGGTAATCTATGACAGTATGGGGTAATCAATGACATTATGAGGTAATCTATGACAGTATAAAGTAATCAATGACAGTATGGGGTAATCTATGACAGTATGAAGTAATCTATGACATTATGAGGTAATCTAGGATAGTATAAAGTAATCAATGACAGTATGGGGTGATCTATGACAGTATGAAGTAATATATGACTTCATGAGGTAATATATGACAGTATGAAGTAATCTCTGACATTCTGAGGTAACCAATGACAGTATGAAGTAATCTATGACATTATGAGGTAATCTATGACAGTATAAAGTAATCAATGACAGTATGGGGTAATCTATGACAGTATGAAGTAATATATGACTTCATAAGGTAATATATGACAGTATGAAGTAATCTCTGACATTCAGAGGTAACCAATGACAGTATGAGGTAATCTATGACATTATGAGGTAATATATGACAGTATGGAGTAATCTATGACATTATGAAACAATCTTTAACATTATTAGCGAATCCCAAGCCTTATTGGGTAATGTATGACATTATGCGGTAATGTATGACATTGCATAATAATCAATGTCACTATTAATTAATATAAGACATGATGAGATATAATATGACATTATGAGATACAGTAACCTTTTACATTTTGAGATGATCTATGTAATTATCTGGTCGCCGATAACATCATTAGGCAATGCATATTATCATGACGTAATCTTTGCAATTGTGAGGCCACCTATAATATAATGAGGTAATATATGACATTGTGAGGAAACCGATGACATTATGAGGTAACATATGACAATGCATAATAATCTATGGAATTATAAGGTAATTAAAGTCACTATAAATCAAAAATGGCATTATGAGATACAATATGACATTATGAGGTCACCTATTACATCATCAGGTATTACATGACATTATGAATACTGTAACCAATAACATGATGAGATAATCTATGTAAGTATGAGGTCCCCAATGATATCATTAGGTAATGCATGTTATTATGTCGTAATCCTTGCTACTGTGAGGCCACCCATGATATTGAGGTGATTTATCACATAATCGGCCTGTTATCCAGTGTAATATTTATACATATGTCACTAGTACAATATACCCTGGAGCGTTTTTCATTGACTGTGCCAGTCAGAAATCGATTGTGAGGTCATAATATGGACAATGACGTGACGTCATAAATTGTGAAAGGCGCAACAAAATGGCTGTCTCTGTTTGAATAAGCCCTCTACATTTTGGCTTTAAAACCTGTCAAAAGTTTTCCGAGTTATGTGGAAAAAAAAGTATATTAATTTTGTTTTCATTTCATATGAGCTTTTATGAAACTCGTCTCGAAGTTTTAATTTTTGCTCGCCTTATATATATACAATGATGACATGATCCATGCTATTATGATGGCAACTATGACATTATGATGTAATCTATGACATGAGATAATCCATGGCGTTATCAGGCCACTAATGACATTATTAGGTACATGTAATACAAAACACCTTGAGGTAATCTTTGGTGTTATTAGCTCACCCACATTTCACTGGTTTATTGAAGAGCTGTTAAATACTAGCAGAGGGTATGAAATAAGCGTATAGGAGACATGTTGCTGGCTAGGTGTTAGATTTTCTTTGGGTTTTTTATTGTTTAATTTTCCGTTTAGAGCCAACAATGGTGCAGACGATGAGCTCTGGAATTTATAATACCGCCATAGCAGGTTGGTATATAGGGTAACCATTATATATAGATATAATTTATATACATGTGTTTTCTCTCCCTCTCTAATTACAACAGGGAACTACTTTAACATTCGGACCTACATCCACTAGTGTATATATAACTCTGTGTTTTTTATTGAATAAATGACATAGGAAGTGACAAATAACGATGTAATATAGTTATATGACTCGTATCCTGCCAAGGCCTCGAACTCACGACCTACGCCTAACAATATCCGCAGCTCCAACGCATGCATCACATTACCTTCTTAGAAATTAAGGTCCCGTTGCTGCAGTCGATAATTTATCACTCCCGTTTCTATTTCATAAATTATTGGTATATCGATACTATCTAGGTTGTTATCTAGAGTGACATCACAGGTATTTATAAATATAAATTGACAATATATTTATATAAAGCACTAAGTGATAGACGACCATTTGGACAATTTCAAGAGCAACTTTTTTTCTCTCAAAATAACACGAAAACTACATACAGTAGACGAAAGCAATCATATCATTATTATATAGTACGATATCGGGGACAGCTAGTTCCCTTTTTAGTCATTTAGGATTTGATATATGTATACCTACTGTTAATGTATATCTAGGTGTCATAAAGATATTTCACAATAAATAAAGTATATGCATCCCCAGGATATCCACAAGCAGCACATCAAGTTACGTCAAGGGCGACAACTCCAACCTCCTCAAGGGCGACATCTCCAGGAACCCAGGCGATGTCAATTTCGGGAATTAGTCGGCAGAGCAGCTTAGAAGTTCTTATCAGTGAGTTTTATATTCCATAATAATAACTAGTATACGGTAGTCTAGTGGTAGGACGCCGGGCTCGTGACCGATCGGTTCCAGGTTCGAGCCACGTCACAACACAGTGTTGTATCTTTGAGTAAGATACTTAACCCCGCTTTTTCCAGTCTACTCAGCTATAAATGAGTACTTGGTTGGGCAGAGCTAGAATTGTTGAGTGCTAGTTGTGAGCGCTAAAATGGCAGCACCAGCTGTATGCTCCCGATGGAGTTGAGAAAGGTATTGGCTGGTTGCAAAGGCCCTATAACCACGGATAATAATTTATGATCCGCTTTGATACGACCTACGAACTAGTTTGTGATAAATCCGTATATAAGAACCTCGAATTATCATTATATTACAAGTAATTATTAGATTTCAAAAGCATGGAAAGTATAACATGTAGTTAACGCTTGCATTGTATGAAGATCCTTCTATATGAACGTGCCATGTTCGTTATAGTGTTTTTCATTCCTAAAGCCATTAGCTAATGGTCCATTGTTTGATAGTTCAAACAGCATCGCTCGGTGTACAATGAAACATCACAAAGTCTTTCTTCCAAGAACAAAAAGAGTCATTTATAAATGACATTTGCTTTTTAACAATAGAAATGCATGTTCTGTTTCCTTTTGCCAGATTCCCTTGATGATGCACACAACATTGGAAGAGCAACCCCAAAGTTTGGTAATGGTAAGTATCAATACACCATACTAGCTGCTAGAAAAAAGGATATAATCCTCTACTTTTGTGGTATGTAAATCGTCTCAAAGCTTTAGTGGGCTTCTAGAAAGCAGTAACTATCCCCTCCTGTTTTGTTTGGTGATCATGTGGAGGATGATATTAAACATGTTAATGATAAATCTTGTAAAGAACTAGTACGTACAAACCAAAAGTACAATATGATATGTGCATCTTAAATTGTAATAAATCTCAAAGATACAGCTATCGAACCATATTAATTATTAGTATTGTGATATTATGCATTTCAGCTGCTTTCGGAGACAAGTCACTACTGAAAATTGCAAGGAAAGTGTCACCAAATAAGACTATGGAGCTAGCGATTCATCTAGATTTGGATCACTCCGATGTGGATCATATTCTTTTTAAATACCGGGATAACATCGTGCTGGCGAATTTTAAAATTCTTATGGGATGGCTTGGCGCGGAGAACGGATCAGCAGAGAAATCCCTTAAAACACTGTGTGATGCGTTGGGAGAAATAGGCCACAACGACCTTAAGGTTGCTTTTCAACTCGCCTATGAAGAAAGTAGATCTATGTAAGAAACGGGACAGTTCCGTCGCGAATTTCTACTGAAACTTGAAACTCAAATAGCATTCGATTATTTCTTGGATACATATCTATGAAGGTATATCTGTCCTCAGTATTATGCTTGTACCTGTTTATCTTGGGTTGTTCTTTATAATGGGAGGCATTTGTAGATACATGAAAGGCCAGTTATTTTGAGCTTTGTACATAAAATATGATTTGGGGTAAATAAGAATCCAGCGACAAAATATTCCTGGAAAGTTCCTAAGACATGTCTCCGGTTGTAACAAGTTCCAACTTTACTATATCATATAAACCGCTTAATTTAGCTGCGCGTTAATTCCTGTGGAGAGACGATCACCGGTTTAAACGTTTTCTGAATATTTTGTTTTCTAAAACAAGAAAAATCTCCTACATGTATAACAATCATCTCATTTTGCCATGGAATTGAACGTTTGCCCAATCTCGGAAGGGGAATGAGTTTTGTCCCGAAGCAGGAACATACAAAAGTCTTAAAAAAATAATTGATTACCAGTTGTCAGTTTAAAGGTTGCGGGTGGAATATTTCCTGGGTACCTTTGGTATGGTATTTCATTGGTGAGGGAGCACTTTACAGCCGGTATTAGCAACATACCATGCATCTAGCATACACATACATGCACGTATGCATAACACACATGGTGGCACGTCTTTAAATAACCTAATAGTTGTTAATAGGATATTAAATTCTCTCATTTCCCTGTTTGTAAGATAGAACTGTCCAGGGTAAGAAAGGGGAGTAGGAAACTTCTATCGTTCACCCCATTTCACGTGACGTGACGTCACAATGGCTATACAATGACGTGACGTCACGAATTTGGAACTCCCCGATGCCACAATGCGGAAAAGGCGACGTGATGAAATTAAATCATTTCACTATATATTTACCTACACGTTAGAAAGATGTTATTAATTTGTCTGTGCAAACAATGTTTGCAAATATGGGATATGCTTCATCTGGCTTGCTGATTCGTTTTCATCTAAAAAGCTCAGGGTAAAAATTGATATTTTCAAATTGGTGGCCAGTCCAAACGCATTTTCATGGTTTCCGGGCTTATTCTTGGGGTTGGAATGAGAGAAAAATACTCTTCATGCCCAAGACCCTTTGGATTTTCAAATTTGGCTAAACACTCGGCAAAGCCTCGGGTTTTGCCAAATTTGAAAACCCCTCGGTTGGAATGTCCCTATCCTACACCCCTGGGCATGAAAGAGTCTTATACTCTGAATAACCAAATATTAATTTGGGTAGCAGTGTACAGTAGCGTACGATGGCCATGGGTGATATTTTAATACAATGAATAAACCCTGTAATAGAACATGTATCAAAATTTAAAAACAAAATCAGCACTAAAATGTGCAAATACATGATGAAGTGGACTATGTGGGCTTCATAATTTTTCAAAAAACAAATCGATTTTGGTTTGAGACTACAGTTTTGGGCATTTACAAATCTGTGTCTACACAACAAAATCTAGCTTTTCATGTAGTCTATTTTGTACTCAGCAAATGTGTAAATATTGTCAAAAATCCACCGGAATGACCTATGCTAAAATGTGAGTATTTCTGTACCGAGTAGGCGATATTTAATTTCAGACAGGTTTTAAGAAAAACAATTCTACTTGCGGGGGTCACATTTTGGGTTAAAAATCATGATATTTTGGTGTTTTTTGATGTGGAAACCATGGTTTTCACAACCCCCAAATCTGGGGAAAACAGTTTCGGAAAACAAAATCAGTCTTCTAAACAAAATGAAATTAAAATGTAGTTCATAATATGTATATATAGGTAGGTGTTTTGTGCAGGTAGAATTCACTATCCATGTTTATGTGAAACATGCCCTTTATATTTAGGGTCGAGCCATTTCTACTATACACGGTACATATAAGCCAACATTCATGTCAGACTGTTTTGTTTCTACGCCTCATTGCAGTTATCATTATTATTTATTGTTTTTTATTTTTGTTGAAATTTCTAATTTATTTATTGAATTTCTTATTTGTTTGTTTAGACATTTTATATTGCAATTGACTACATATGTTTTACGATATTGTTTTAATAAATCAATATTTATTTCTTGTAACCTAGTTTTTATGATGCATCGGTAACTTTTCTCACCTATTAATGAATAATTTTAAACGAAAATCATTCAAATTTCAAAACTTTGTCAATACCTTGCATGTGATACATGTGTGTTTGATTGAAATCATTAAATTGTTGAAGGGAATAAGATCAGTTTGACTATACTTGCAGTGCTCGATTTTTTTAAATGCAAATAAAAAGCTTATATTTTGTATATGTTTTGTATAACATGTCAATTGATTCATACTTCTATGAAATCATTTGAAAAGTGTGAATTTCAAATTAATTGTATTTAAAAAACCTTGGATCATATTTTTTCTATCTCTTGAATTAATTTCAAATATAAAAATCTCTCGATTATCTACTCACATTTACGATGTACTTGTGTATTATAGAGCAACATTATGTTACTGCTGTGCTTCCTTTCCTGATTTCCGATTCTCGTGTTACTATATATATGTTTATAATCATATGGGTGAAAGAAGTGATATCAACAGTAATTGCCCAAATAGCATTGGTTCCTTAAAAACGTATGTTGGTAGGATACGGATTTCGTGATATTGGTATATTGGGCAAGGAAGTAGACCTAACAGTGTAGATAATATGAGACTGTCACATTTGCAGAGCTTTGCGCTCCTTAAGCGATAAAGGAACGGATTGCTCCTTTGAATGACTTTCTTACCGCATATATATTTATCTATGTACATGTATCAAGTTTCCAGGAGTTCGATAACCAGGGTGGCAGTTGGACACGTTTAATTACAGTATATATCATTGTTATTATTACTTATTGTTGAGTTTTCTTTCATATTCGTTAATATATTCCTTACACGTTATTGAAGGTCACGTTTTTATCCTAAAAGCGATTACTTTTTTCAATATAAATATATGATGAATTCTATAAATTTTCTTTCCCCTAAAGCAATTGTAATATCAATCTTTGCGAAAGTGTTTTAGACTAGCACTCTCTAAAGTAAGTTTTCGTCAAAGTTCAGACATAAATGGAATTATTTTGATTCTATTGGTGATATTCAGGAGCAATTGTGCTCTTTTTTTATAACTTTCGTCCATAAAATCCTTTTTGTGACCTTCACCTTTTTAAACCGAATCTTAGTCCTTTATACATTTAGCATTTTGTATCACGGTGTCAATCTAGGTCAAATAGAATATAATCAGTGTAATATATCAAAGATACTTCAATCACTATCCGACGTATGTGTTTATAACACGTTCTACCCTTGTTATAGATACATTCAGCACTATTATTGTTAATTATTGTTAAGTTTTCTAATTTATTTGGTTGAACCTTTTTATTCTTGTTATATGTACAATAGTTACTGAAATCCAAAAGCAATTATTTTACAGTAATTTTAGAAATAATAAATTGTTATAGCTGTCTCATTAGTATCGATATATGTTTTAATACATTTGTTTTAAAGACATATCAGTAATTATAACTTGTAACATATACTTCTGTAGTCATTACCGGATTCTGTACTTATTTCTACATTAACATCCTCTGACATAATAACAAATTCTTTGCTTATCTTTAAATGACAAACCTTCTTCTGACGTCATTACAAGATTCTGCTCTACTTTCATCAAGTTAATCTGCCCATGACGTCATGCTTGTTTCTACATGTCACACCTTCCTCTGACGTCATTAACAGACTCTGTTCTCTTTGTAAAATGCTTCATTTCATATAATGGTATTATTAACTTCTGGTGTTGATACGTTAAACCCTACTTTGACATCGTTTAGTTCGCTTGTACTGATACATTCAACACTTTCATCTGACGTCATTCATCTTATGTGCTCATTAACTATATAAATACCATGAAGAACTTGATTCTTGGACAGTAAACTGTTGATGGGTGAGAGTTTGTTTATCAGACTATAAACCTGTGGATGGTAGAACTTGATACTGAGACAGTTAACTGTTGATGGGTGAGAGTTTGTGTATCAGACTGCAAACCTTTGGATGGTAGAACTTGATTCTGGAACAGTTAACTGTTGATGGGTAGAGTTTGTTATCAGACTGCAAACCTTTGGATGGTAGAACTTGATTCTGGAACAGTTAACTGTTGATGGGTGAGAGTTTGTGTATCAGACTGCAAACCTTTGGATGGTAGAACTTGATTCTGGAACAGTTAACTGTTGATCGAGAGAGTTTGTTTATCAGACTATAAACCTTTGGATGGTAGAACTTGATTCTGAGACAGTTAACTGTTGTTGTCGACAACATTAGTGTACTACTGTAAACGAACTCATTTTCGCTGTATACTAATTTTAGCACTTTTTGCACTATAAATATTGCGCTAAATTATGATTGCACTAATTAAGGTTTCTGAAAAAGTTTTTTTACTGCAGATATTGTAAGTGCGCCAATTTTTCAATGCGCTTATCTATTAACATTCGATAATACGCTTATTTGAGTCCACAAAAATAAGTACGTCTACAGTATATGATTTATTTATAATAACTATGGTATTTTAAATTGAGGTGAATAACTAACATGCAGTGTATTTTTGCTTAAAACCATCAATCGGTGAAGGGAATATGTGTTGATATCAGACGTATTATAAAGTTGACATATATTTACAAATGCAAAATCTTCTAAACGGCATTTAATCCTACAAATGTCAGAGATTACATTTCTTAGCTAAAATCAATTTTGAAATGTGTACTGTACATCATTTTGTATTTGCCATATATTCCGTTTACATTAATTTGCGAGGAGACTCTTTTGAAAAATCTGCAGCGAATAGTTATTGTATAATGACAATTACCATTGAAATAGTCTCATTGTATTTGCGAATACAAGCCAATGCGAATAAAACATACATAAACATATTTTTCGATATATTGTACAACACAAATAAATTATTTGCAGCATTTCAAATGCATGCTAAATAACTTTCCTCCCGATAAAAAGGGTGGATAATAAAACATTTCAAAATACTGAATTTGAGTTTTTTTGTATCAACATCATCAATGTGACACAAAGAACAATATGCCTACGACGACTTGTTATTTCCAGACTGGAACCTACAAACTGACGACGTATGGTAAGATTTGTCAAGCGTTTAAAAAAATGTTTTGTCATAAGATCCTTCATGTATGGACCTGTTGTACTAAATACTTGTATTGTCCCTTCTTCCATAGGGTGGGGAGCTACAATATAATCATACATGGCCGAGTTTTGGGTACTCGAGTTAAGAGTTTCTATATACAGAAACAGTGTCGCTATCACTCGACATTAATTAAATTTGACGGACTTCAACGATGATATTTATACAGTAGAGACAATAGATAAAATGCGTTCAAGCTATTAAGCTAGATATGTGTTTTCATGTATGTTAGTCTTTGGACAAATTGCATACCTGTGACAAGACATAAAAAAGCCGTTTACCAGTTGGAAAGATGAAACTTATTGATGGAATGATCCGAAATAGTAGGCATGAGACTGTACGCAGCCAGAACCGACCGTTCTGAGGGAGACCAACATAAGAGCCAGCACCTCTGCCAAGATAAAAATTTAGAAACGTCTGCCAGTATTATCACAAATTCGGAGAATCCGTATACATAAAATGTTAACACGGCTAAGTAGCTAGCGTACATGTAACAAGATCGGTACCCAGCTCAACCCCCATGAAACAGACAGCCCTGATTTTCCGGGCAGGTATACATGTATACTCTTACAGTATATACGTAGCAGACTCCCAAATAGAAATCCTCGCTTCTTTTAGGCCCCTTACTTTCCTTGCGACACGGTTTAGTTTATTATCATTCTGATGCATTGTTATCAGATAAAAGGGCAAGCTTTTCTTTGTTTTGTGGAATCAAAAACCTGATCTTTGACATCTGACAGAGAAAGGACGAGTCCTAGTCCGCCATCACGTTTTGTTTAAATGTTTCCATAGCTTTAATCAGCCTTAATCACAGTGTGTTGGCACTATTTCTCTAACCTCATAGCCTTGTTTATAATGTCAAAAGAACTTTCCCGACACATTTTGTCAATCAATATTTCTTCTGTTATCATTCATTATCAACTGACAGCTATTCATAGTCTGGAAAATCTTTTATTAATAACCGAGACAAGTTCTAAAGATCACAGATATATGTGTCTTCGTAGTTGATAGTTTCTTTAATATTTCCTTTTTATTTCAAATATTTGGATTGGTTCGTTGGATAATCAAATTTCTACGCTTTGCCTCTCTTGTCACGATTACGGATGAAAGTTTGCATAAACCGGACGACTAGCTTGTGGTTGTATTGGTCGGCAGTTTCCATAGACTGTTATCATTTCATCTCCGTGTCCATCGTGCATTTCTCGGAACACTCTCATCTGAAACGCAAACCAATATTTAAAGTTAATTGAGATTGTTGCAACATGTCTCGAATATATGTTCTTAACAAAGCATCCAATAAACTGCATTACAGATGATAACTGTTTTTAAGAACTTTGGAACGTTAAAACTCATCCTCGATATTCCAGGGGTTACGCTCATTTTAGCTTTCTGCACCCCTGGAACATGTCATATAAAAATTGAAGGCGTAGTGTGCGCCACCTTGAAGGTGAGATGAGAAGACTAGTTTGAACCTTTGATGAACATCAAACGACTTTCGCGGTGGCGTAACGGTAAAATTGTTTACGAAAAATCCTTGCTATCTCCCGCACTTTACAAACAGAACAGAGATCTATACGCAGTTAGAAACAGTAGAAATATCGCAAAGTGCATACTACATTTATCCAGCAATTAACCCCTTGAGTATCGAGGAAAGTTAGAACTAAGAACCCGTGTAGATTCGTGGCCTAAAACTATCGTAGAGCAATGTAACAAAACATAATTCCACGTACAAAAGGACATAACATACCGTATTTAGGTTAATAAAGACTGGATTTTTAAGGATAATCCATGAGACGCTTTCTAGGCAGCCTGGCGTCGTTAGGGAACCCTCATATGCATACGCATCCTTCTTTTTTGGAACAAGTAAGAAAGGATCAAACATCGCTTCACATCCAGTTTCTGCAAACATGGCAACAAAATGATATTTTTAATTCCAAAAAAGTCCTTATATAGTCTATAGCATGGTAAGATATTCATCTGCAACGATCAAGTATCGATGGAATATTTAGCACATCGTTCACTTTCTAAACATAAAAGAATGAATTTCAAGATACATTTCATTCTAAGAAATTCAGATAATCAAAGGATATGAGGAGGAAGATCTGCTTATGAATTGAAAAACATTTTGACCTTACCTGATACATCGAGTAAGTATTTTTCATTAGCGTTTATGAACCTATCGAATCGGCCCATAGACTTTTCTATTGCCTGTAAGTAAACAAAAAGCATTTAATACATATCTATGATACGTTATTTACATTTCAGAGAAAAAAGTATCAACTTTCTTTAATAACATCTATTCTGTACTGAACTTGTGATAAGTTAAAACAGATTATACCTGAGAATATAATATCAGTGTTAAATAAGTCATCAAAATAACCGAACTTCGCTAATAAAACGCCGTATAAAAATCATTTCAACAACTAGTACATTGTATCATAAAAAATGTTTTTCCATTCGTATTCGTTGATATCAAAAACATGCATTCACAAATATACTTGCCAGTCTGTAATATTGTAGAACAAGGTTATACATACTTCGATGGTTTCTAACAAACCTACCAGTCAGTGAAAATGGTCAGCTGTGGTTGTTTCCGATCATGATGGTTTTAACATTGATGCAATGTCTTTGTTCGTACTATGTTCGTATTATGACAACTACTGTCTACTTTTAATTTTAATTTTGAAAAGCATTAATTAAAACATGAAAGAAAAGTAGAGTGATATAAATTACATCTAAAGTAATATCTTGAACGATATCAATGCACTATTGCACAATACAATAAAACAACAAAAATAAGTATAAAAAAACAAAAGCAAATAAAACAAAAACAAAAAAGAAAAGCAAATGTAATGGTTTTCAAGATGACATTGAAGCTAAATTTAATCTACGGATATTCTTACCTCAGCAACGATTTTAGAACTCTTTGCCAATATGGAATGTTCCTCACTGATGTAAGTATCCAACCTTTTCGATTTTACCCCTGGCTACAGGAATATCTATGTTCCTTGGTGCAAAACTCTCAGACAAATAACAGGTAAACCCTATCATTCGATATCCGAATAACTATCATACTTGTTTATCTATTTGTTGTTATGATGCTGTATAGAAAAAGTGTCTTCCATGAAATGTCATATTCTGATTGTGATTGTAATGCCTACCTTGAAGAATACAGCAACTACTGCCAAACCGTCTGGTTCTCCCATGGCTTTGTCGAAACTCTCGTATTTGGTATTATAATGTACCATATGCATCTATAAGTACAACAGTAAAATTTCGATTCAAAAACAAATTAAATGATACCAAATGTAAACAGAAAAAGGATGAGAATATGAAATGACCAGTTGATTGCATTTGTCCAAACATATTAATCTGTTTCTGACTAACGATATGCAATTTAGTGTGGCTTAGTGCTTGTGAGCAGGGTATAATTATTACTATATAATTAAAACTATGTCATAACATAAGATAAATGGATGCATTTTTAAACATAAATTTATGAGCATATATATAATGATAGTTTTGACAATTTTTGATTTCCACCTTGGTCCGTAGCATCACCGATGAGACCTAGAAGGACGAACAAGCTGCATTGTGTTGCGTTATTCATTGTTGGCATGCTGTATCTAGCTTAAATTATACAAACGAATCACTCCTCTGTGTCGCTGTCTCATACCTCGGCATCCATTCTGTGACCATTGAGTTTGTGTTCAGAGCCCCCTTCTTTGTCACAGGCAAAGTGAAAGTGAAACTGGATTAGTTGAAACTTGTCGTCAGGTGAGGTAGGTAAACCGCGTACTGTGCTGCCATTAACGGAGAGGGTGAACGTCGGCGCATGACCTGTCGATTAGTTTATAAGCATCACTCAACCCTGAGATGCCTGGGATACCCACATAACTGTTGTTTAACCCTGTGACGACTAGGATACCAATATCACAAGGGTTTAACCCTTTGATCACAATTATATCAATATCAGTAGTGTTTAACCTTGTGATCACAATTATATCAATATCAGTAGTGTTTAACCCTGTGATCACAATCATATCAATATCACAAGTGTTTAACCCTGTGACGACAATCATATCAATATCATAAATGTTAAACCCTCTTACGCCAATTCTATTAATATCACTAGTGTTTAACCCTGTGATCACAATCATATCAATATCACTAGTGTTTAATCCTGTGATCACAATTATATCAATATCAGTAGTGTTTAACCCTGTGATCACAAGTATATCAATATCATTAATGTTAAACCCTCTTACGCCAATTCTATTAATATCACAAGGGTTTAACCCTGTGATCACAATTATATCAATATCAGTAGTGTTTAACCATGTGACGACAATGATATCAATATCATTAAAGTTAAACCCTGTGACGACAATGATATCAATATCATTAATGTTAAACCCTCTTACGTCAATTCTATTAAAATCACTAGTGTTTAATCCTGTGACCACAATTTTCATCAATATCACTAGTGTTTAACCCTCTTACGCCATTTCTATCAATATAACTAGTGTTTAACACTGTGTGACGACAATAATATCAATATCACTAGTGTTTTACCATGTGACCACAATAATATCAATATCACTAGTGTGTTACACTGTTACCACAATAATATCAATACCACTAGTGTGTTACCCTGTGACAACAATATCAATACCACTAGTGTTTTACCCTGTTACCACAATAATATCAATATCACTAGTGTTTTACCCTGTTTCCACAATAATATCAATGTCACTAGTGTTTTACCCTGTTACCACAAGTTTTATCAATATCGCTAGTGTTTTACCCTGTGACCACAATAATATCAATATCACTAGTGTGTTACCCTGTTACCACAATCATATCAATATCACTAGTGTGTTACCCTGTTACCACAATCATATCAATATAACTAGTGTTTTACCCTGTTACCACAATCATATCAATATCACTAGTGTTTTACCCTGTTACCACAAGTTTTAGCAATATCACTAGTGTTTTACCCTGTTACCACAAGTTGTATCAATATCACTGGTGCTTTACCCTGTGACCACAAGTTTTATCAATATCAATAGTGTTTTACCCTGTGGCCCCAAGTTGTATCAATATCACTGGTGCTTTACCCTGTGACCCCAAGTTGTATCAATATCACTACTGTTTTACCCTGTGACCTCAAGTTTTATCAATATCCCTGGTGCTTTACCCTGTGACCCCAAGTTTTATCAATATCCCTGGTGCTTTACCCTGTGACCACAGGTTGTATCAATATCACTAGGGTGTTATACTGTTACCCCAATAATATCAATACCACTATTGTGTTACCCTGTGACGACAATAATATCAATATCACTAGTGCCTTACCATTAATATCACTAGTGTTTTTCCCTGTGACCACAAGTTGGATCAATATCACTAGTGCCTTACCCTGTGACCACAAGATTTATCAATATCACTAGTGCCTTACCATTAATATCACTAGTGTTTAATCCTGTGACCACAATTTTCATCAATATCACTCGTGTTTAACACTCTTACGCCATTTCTATCAATATAACTAGTGTTTAACACTGTGTGACGACAATAATATCAATATAACTAGTGTTTAACACTGTGTGACGACAATAATATCAATATCACTAGTGCCTTACCATTAATATCACTAGTGTTTTACCCTGTGACCACAAGTTGTATCAATATCACTAGTGCCTTACCCTGTGACCACAAGTTTTATCAATATCACTAGTGTTTTCCCCTGTGACCACAAGCTTTATCAATATCACTGGTGCTTTACCCTGTGACCTCAAGTTTTATCGTAGTGTTTAACCCTGCGATCACAATCATATCAATATCACTAGGGTGTTATACTGTTACCCCAATAATATCAATACCACTAGTGTTTTACCCTGTGACCACAAGTTTTATCAATATCACTAAAATTCCACAATGCGACGACTGATATATTTCGCCTCTTACTGAATTGCCTCCCTTTTTACTGTTGAATTAGGGTATGACAGTTGATATGCTGAAAGAAATCATTCGATGACGTAACGGGAACTATCAGATATGACGTCATAATCAGCTCTGTCAGACCCTCAAGATATCGGAAGATTCTAGAAATAAACAACACTGATGTTTCAACCTGTGACGAAAAGCTTGTCCTTCATTTCTTGATTTTTTAAAGCACATCTTGGAACCACAATTACAAACGTTTCATAACATTGGCTTTTCACTTTCACTGCATGACGGTACTTTGCCCGAAACCTAAAACATTATTTATTTATTTTCCAATAAATTTGTTTAACTTCCAGTCAAATAATATCTTTCAGAAATAAAAAATACTTTAGTAGGTTAACTTGTATACATTTCTATAGCAAGTCATTTCTCTATAGAAACTCAAAAGTGTACCGCGAAATACAAACATTACAAAACAAGTTTTACTCCATTAGATGGACATCATTAAAAACTGTACCGTTGTTAAAGAACTTCCCCCTGAATCCGTAGACCGGGAGATTGCCGAATTTGATAGAGAAGTCCTTGTAGGTGACTAGGGAATCCTGTACATCTATCGGCGACTGACGAGTTCCTGTACAGTGGCTCCAGAAATACGACCAGTTTTCAGGACCTGAAAAACGTAATGATCTTCTGTATTGTATTATAGTACGTTAACTAGTATCTCTGATATCAAAATGTATGCATGCCAAAAGAAGGTGAACATGGGAAGGAATAGCGTATGAAGTAGATATAAACGGCGGATAAACTACTTTAAGCTTTAGGGCGACAGGGCAATCGAGTAGACTACCTCTATTGACAGAGGAACGCTGAAATATTTGTTGATGTAGCCAACAAAAAACCAAAAAATTGAAACTCAGTAAAAAGGCATATTTTTCCACATAATACAGTATGCAGAGGAACAAATATAGAGACTTCATATTATTTTCATTCACCACATTATCAAGAAGATACATATTAAATTAATTCTTTCAACAATTCATGACATCTGATAGGAAAAGAAGATAAGCTCTAAGCAAAAAAATAAAGTGATGCAAAGAAATGTTGTTCGGGTGATTTGTTTAGATATATTTTCAAACACTTTCCAGCATAACTTTTTGGCATTATTTCATTTTCTATAACACTGATGATTTGACATATATATTTATAATTTGTCATATATTACTATACTTCAGGAGAACAGTAACACAATAGTACATTTTGCTTGTGGAACGGGGACTACAATTCGGTCGCAATATAATCTCAAACAATATGAGCGATATGATGTTGAATAAATTATGCTCTGCAGACATAAGTACATCCGCATTAACTATTTGAAGTGACTGTTACATGTACAGTGTGTGTGCATGTTTGGTACATTTACCTTACTGGTAGTTTTACTAAATCATACTACAATTAAGAAGAATATTTCACTTAAAGGTAATGACTTATTATATATTCAGTCATTTGTAGCTGGAACAATATATGAAAATATTAAAATTATGGAAATATACTGTACCTTTGACATAAAAAAATACGTTTCTAATTTATTTAGTCCTTATCTTAATCCAACAGATTGTGAATTCAATATGGAAGATAAATGGAGTGTTTTGGGATACTCTTTCTCAAAATATACTAGAAGATTAAACAAAATTGGCTGAGGCAAGAAGGGCAGCTCTCCTTACTGACCAATTGTATCAATTCCAAAATAGATCTAATCAAGTCATACTGTAAAAAAATAGAGGATAAATATCTTCTTTCCATTATCAGATATGTTCGTGTCATTTGTTTAAAGCAGCATCAAATGGGTACATTTTTCAAATTTTTGGTTTTATTTTGTTTAACGTCCAATTAACCGTTAAGGTCTGTTAAGGACGTGCCTCCATGTGTGTAATGTGTGGGTTCGTTTAACATCTAGTACATCAAATCAGTTTCAAATACAGCAGGTTTTTGTCAGGTAGGTAATTTTAATCGTTGTATGAGTTGAAGTAGATTATCATTACTAACAAAGAGTTTTACACGCTCTGGTGTTTTTGAAATCGATATTTGTTTTAAGTATACATACCATAAAAACTGTTCCTGTCGTAATCAAAATCATGTTTCTTCTCTGCATGTTTGTCTTCACTGTTTGCCGGCTCTTCGTTCCGATTTAGCTTGACGTCAACACCGCCTCTCTCCAAGCTCGTTTTCCATGGATCCCTAAAGCCTCTAAACCCATTCTGAAGCATTGAAACTAGTTTTTGTCTCCACAAATCTCTGACAGACAAGTTAGAACCTTGGGTCTGACCCCCTGATCCGGCCGCCCCGCCGCTGCTGCTGATTGTGCCCGTGTAATAATGCCGTTCGGTCCTAACTCGAGAGCCATCGTCTGCCACAAATGCGTCCCGCGATACCACGTGATTTCCTCCCCATGTCCCATGGGATCCATCGTTTCCATTCCACGTTCCTTGTTGTGCATTATGCCAGCTTCCGACTGAACCCTTTTGATTGTTGTTCCAGCCTCCGACAGATCCCTGTTGGTCGTTGCTCCAACTCCCGGCAGATCCCTGTTGTTCGTTGTTCAAGCCTCCGGTGGATTCTTGCTGAGCATTGTTCCAACCTCCGGCGTCATTCCGGGTTCCAGTGGATTCATCAGAAACTCCGTATGCATTTTCTGATCTAGTACCTCCATTCCAACTTCGAGATCCGTCTCCATATCCGGCGGATTTATCTTTTCCTGACCAAGCATTTCCCTGTGATCCTCCATTACCATAACTGTGCCATCCTCCTCCCTGTGAATTTGATCTACCCCAACCATGAGCGTGTACACTAGAAATAAGTAGTGAGAGTCCCAGTAACAGCCAACTATTCTCCATGACGACCAGTTTACTGCGATGTTCAACAGCCTCCTTCCCCTACCAGTATGTGGGCGCTGATCCCTGTAGCCTGCACTCATGCACTTGTGATGTCAAACGGTATTATTATAAAGCGATTCTCTTGAAAATGATCCAAGTAAGCCTTGTAAGTACAATCCGTCAAAATAAACAGTGCAGATAAATCCCAGGTAATAAACTATTACTTTATTAATCGTGGACAACTTAGATGATCAATTACTCTGTGTACTGAGAACAGAAACATGACCACCTGCCGCTAACACCGTTTAAATCAAAGTCAACCGTGCCAGAATCGATGGTCATGCATATTAGGTGTATTCAAGGACAAACAGAAACACATTCTTACTATTGAAACGGACAGAGGATAAGTCGCCACGTACATAATGTTAATAATGGGATCGGTGAAATGACGAGTTCTTTGCTTTCCTTTTAGTAAATACATTCGTACATTTACCAATCTGTATGGGATACAAAGCCACATTGTTGTTCAAGTTTTCACACTTGTGGTTAAAATATTTACTAGGGTATAAAAAAAATGCTGTTTGCTTTTCAAAAAGAAATTGACCAATTCACAATTATAAATAAAATTGCTGACATGGGCATTACCTAACCATGCTGACAGATGGTAAGCATTTGTCAAAGGTACCAAGCCCATACATAAAAAAGGCGTACCTCTACCTTGTTGATTTATCGTATACACCTGCTGTATTACTCACTTTATTAGAAATCTGAAAAGAATATTGCGCTCCGTATTGTAATATTTACATCAGAAATGCAGACCGAGTTTATTTTTTTCGTTAACTTTTTTCAAGATTTATTTGAAATGTTGCAAAACAGTGTTTATAAATATATACTTAAGATTTAGATGTCTGTTTAGACTGACCCGTCTCCAGAGTATTGAATTATTCAGAGAGAGAAAATTAGGCTCAAACGGAGATAATCTAGTAGAAATGCAACTAGGGGCTGGTGGCCAGTCTAATGTCACATAAAGTAGGTACTCATAGACAAGGGAGATAAGCTAGTAGAAATGCAACTGAGGGCTGGTAGCCAGTATAATGTCACTTAAAGCGTTGTTAGGATTATTGCAGGTCCTCATAGACAAAGGGTAGACAATAATAAATAAAAATTGAATGACAACATTAGACTGGTTGTTACGTCTTTCTGCTTACTTTAGCTTCTTCAGGCGGACTGATGTTTATTAAGTTAGTTGTTAGTTGCATGACAAGTTACAAGGCACTGAATGGAACAGCTCCTCAGTACCTACAGGAGCTTGTTACCCTGTATCAGCCGTCAAGATCACTGCATTCGGAGTCAGAATCTTTGTTGTGTGTCCTAAAATCTCGTACTGTGACCTCCGGAAACAGATGCTTTGGGAGGGTTTCTGCTACGTTGTGGAATAACTTACCATCTGCTATTAGGAAGTCAAATACCCTGGTCAAGTTCAAGAGGGACAGAAAAACTCACCTCTTTACGTCTGCATTTTAGAATATAGAATATACAGAAAATTATTTTAGAAGAAATAGAATGCATTGTATCCAGACAGAGTGAAGTGTGTGATGTTTTTAATGATTTTTTTTCTACAGTTGCTGATGATATTGGTAAAGATCTAAAGGGCGTGTCTAATTATACAGACCACCCGAGTGTTATTAACATTAAAAGTTCTGTCGATACAAATGAAAACAATGTTTTTAGCTTTCAGCACGTAGAAGAGAATGATGTTAAGAAACTGTTTTCATCACTGATTGTGAACAAAAACAGGTTTTGATGGTATCTCTGCCAAGATTTTAAAAGCTGGTACAGAAGCTTTTACATCTGTCATAACATCCCTTTTTAACCATTGTGTTACTGTTTCCCATTTCCCTGATGTTCTGAAAAATGCACAAGTTTTACCCATTTTTAAGAAAAACAACCCTATGGAAAAGAGTTACTTCAGGCCTGTTAGTATTTTACCCTCTTTGTCAAATATTTTTGAAAGACTTGTCCAGAACCAACTGAGGAAATATTGTAAGCCAATTTTTAGTCCTTTCTTAGCAGCTTTCAGGAGCGGTTACGGGTGCCAGTCTGTCCTGCTAGCGAGCTTTTGAGGACCGGAGGCAGGCCTTGGACAACCATCAGCATGCATGCATTTTGGAGCCATTCTGATGGACCTGTCCAAGGCATTTGACTGCATTCTTCATATTCTGATACTCGGAAAGCTGCAAGCTTATGGACTGGGTAAGTCATCTATTGACTTCATCAGCAGCTACCTGAGTGGCAGAAAACAGCAGGTCAGACTGGGGTCAAAGACCAGCAAATTGGCTCTATAGGGTTCTATTGCAGGACCTCTAATTTATAATATTTTTATGAATGATATTTTTACCTTTGTAGACAAATGTGTTTTATATAATTACGCAGATGACAACATGCTTTCTAAGTTTTGTGACAGTTATTCATATTTGAAAGATTGTTTAGAAAATGAGAGCAAAGTTCTTATATAATGGGTTTAATTTGAATGGTATGAGGGCCAATCCAGAGAAATTCCAGGCTATATGTTTTGGCAAAAAAACTAGTAACTCTATCAAATCTTTTAATATTGAAAGCCTTGAGATTATGTGTGAAGACAGTGTGAAACTTTAAGGTGTGCATATTGACTTTCTTCTTAAACTTGATGCACATATATCTCGCCTTTGTAGAAACTTGCTGTTTTAAAAAGACTGGGTAAAAATATTACAAAGAAAGGAAAAATTTCCATTTTTAAGGCATTCATTCTATCAAATTTTAACTATTGACCACTTGCCTGGTGCTTTTGTACATTGACAAATACTAGGAAAATGGAAAAAGTGCAGGAACGAGCACTTCGTTTTATTGAAAATGATTATGTTTTCCCAGTCATTGATATTTTAATAAGACACAAACTTGATTTTTTACATGTAAAACGTATGAAAGATATGGCCTCTATCCGAGGTTTTTAAAATTTTAAATGATATTTCTCCATCAATTTTACAGATTCTTGTTGAGAGGAAAGAAGTGTTTTACAATCTTAGACAAGATAACTTGGTAAAGATGGTACGAGATCCGTTTTGCTGCTTCCCAGGTGTGGAACAGCCTACCAAATGAACTTCGATTAGCTGAAAACTATTAGTCATTTCGTGGGCTGCTTCGCACCTGGGACACTAAGGTCTGATCATGTGCACACACCCTATAGTGTAAGTTGTCCCCCTTTGGTATCAACCTACATACACCATATAGTGTGAGTTGTCCCCCTTTGAAATCAACCTACATACATAGTGTGAGTTGTCCCCCTTTGAAATCAGCCTGTGATATTTATTTAAGGTTTGAGCTCCATTATTTAAAAGATCATTACTTTTTACAATATCATATATAATTATAGCTCTCTTTTTTATTTATAACTTCATTGTCTCTTTTTAATTCACACTATATTAGTGTATATGCTGTACATTTTAACACTTTGCTAAATGGAACTAAGATTGGTGAGACGTTTATATAGTGGCTTGGTAGAGCAACTAGCAGAGCCAACAATAAGACGATATAACACCGTAGAGTGAAAAAGGAAACTGTATGGGCAAGGTTTCCTTGGTTTACAAGCACGCCTAGTTCTTTTTTCCAAACAGGAGACGTAAGGTGTTAGCGATCAAATTCCATGTTAATAGGTACGTCATGTTTGTATCATGTTAATAGGTACGTCATGTTTATATCATGTTAATAGGTACGTCATATGTATATCATGTTAATAGCTACGTCATATGTATATCATGTTATTAAGTACGTCATATGTATATCATGATAATAGGTACGTCATATGTATATCAGGTTAATAGGTACGTCATATGTATACCATGTTAATAGGTACGTCATATTTATATCATGTTAATAGGTACGTCATATGTATATCATGTTAATAGGTACGTCATATGTATATCATGCATATCGTTGAGTGGTTTATGGACATCGGGGTCAAAGCTTGTTCTTTTTTAAATGATGGAGCCGAAGATTTGTGAATTCTATTCAGCATGATGTTATATCAGGTGTAGTCTCATAAACATTGATGGTATACGTATTTTAGTACGTTGGATCATTCATGAAAAGCTCTGCTAGCTTCGCCTATGTGGATGATATTTCGATCGCCAGTTACTACGTGTCCTGATGGGTACGTGAAGCAAAAATAATGCTGTAGGGGTTATTCTACATGTATAAGGAACGGGTTTAAAATAACTTTTAGCAATAATTACAGGACTGTTGGTACCTGCAGCGCTTTGATGTGTTATATCGTGTAGCTTCGACAGACTTGTGGCGTTGGCTATTTTTGGTATCTACCCCATTATCGATAAATTCGTGTTCGAAAAATTCCGAGTATACCTATACCGATGTCGTACACATTCACATCAGTGACGCGACGATCAATAGTTGTGAAACTTTAGGAATATGTATACGTGTTGTTAACCATTGTGCTAAACTTAGCATTGTAAGTATGTGTTACATACAACAGCTGAGTAATAGTTTTGTAACAATAGCATTGTGGTGGGTTTTGTTTCCTGGTTTATTTAGAGATACTTTGTCTGAATTTCGACGTTCTTAAAATATTAAAGTAAAGGGAACACCTAAGTTAATCTATAATCTATCCATTGTCACACCTGTATAATACCTTTTATGTCTTGTTCATAAAAATCACAGAATTAAAGTTGTTCGAAAGTTTAATGTTTGAAAATAGAAATAAAAAACACACCAGGGGACGGACTAAGAACCATTACATTACAAAGAATACCTCAAGTCTAAAATAAACTCGAGTGGAACTCTTCTGTGCGATAATAACTGATGGCGTATTACACAGTATCTATGTACATCTTACCTTCAATATAATATACCAGTCCTCTAAAGATTCTGATACAAAACCTGTCTCTTCGCATATCGTGTGTCTCAAAGAAACTCAAAATTAATTTTCTATTGATTCCGAGATATGTCGGAATAAAATGTAAGCCCCAGTCACAGTGTCACGGTATGGGCACGTAATGAAAATGCTGACATGGGTTAAACTTTTTAAATCCATTACACGATCGACCACACAGAATGAATGGCGCAGCAGCGACGGTCTCGCTCATCTGTTTACATGGACCTGATAATTTGTTACAGCTATATTTGGACCTAAACTAAGATGTTCAACGTAATTTTGCATGTAAACATGTAAAATTACGCTGAACATCTCAGAGTATGTCCAAATATAGCTGTAACCAATTATCGGGTCCCTGTGATCTGTATCTGCTGTTTCGGGTAGATCCACCCTATGCGCAACCCTCATCCTTTCTCGTCCAGGTTAGACCTGACAATGGCGGAGTTTTCCGACAATCTTATCCGCATTATATTCACTTTCGGAAAATTATGTTTATTGGAATATTTAAAGTCATGATTGAGGAACTTTCATGAAGGCTAACATTGTCGGTATATAGGACAACTGGTCTAGGTCTGGAACTGCATCATTGGTTTTTTTGGGTTACTACGTACATGTACATTAGAGGTCCATGTGAAACGTTAAGAATGGGTCGGCATATATGTCGTACATTTGTAACAGGAAAGGGAAAATGCAACAGGGCTAGCTTGATTCGAACACAAAACCTCTGAATGCGCTCTTACTTATACCTGTTGGTCACTAGTAGACACCCGGTCCAGTCCCGCTATATATTATACTTTTTCTTGTTACACTACAAAATCGTATATTTTGTTATTTTTCGTGTTTGTACACTGTAATTGATTGCATTATGAGATGCGTTATTTGAATATTGTGTATGGTTTTATACAATTGTATTATTTATTGTACGAACTGTTGTATTATTTATTCTATTCTTCATTTTATGTTTTTGTCCGATTCGTTGAATTTTATTTGTGTTTTATTGTATGATCATTTTAATGATAAACGTCTGAAACGTCATCTTTTTAATAAATTTATCCATATCTGAGGGTATAGTACCTGACGATCTTAAAACTGCAAAAGTTCTCCCTTTATTCAAAAAGAAGGATAGACTTCAGGCAGAAAACTAAAGACATGTGAGCATCCTCAATATTGTATCATTTTTTTTTAGAAAAAGAAGTCTACAACCAATTAGAATTTTTTCTTGCTAAAAATAACCTATTGTATGAATTTCAGTCCGGCTTCAGGAAATCATACTCTACTGACTCCTGTTTGATCTATCTCATGGACTATATAAAGTCTCAAACGTCGAAAGGTTTATTTACTGGTATGGTCTTGTTAGACCTACAAAAAGCTTTCGATACAGTAAATCATTCTATATTGTGTAACAAATTAAAGTTTATTGGTGTTGAGTCTTGCAACTGGTTCAAATCTTATTAAGAAAGTAGATCTCAACTAGTCAGTGTTAATGGGGTACACTCGTCAGTAATGTCAACTGCGGGGTTCCTCAAGGAAGTTTGTTGGGACCACTTTTATTTTTGGTGAACATCAATGACATGAAAATAAGTATTGAAAATTCATGTAAATTACTTCTCTATGCGGATGACAGTGCTACATGTGTTATATTCTCACATAAATGCCCTGAAACAATTTCATCTAAAATCTCCTTGGTTTTGGAGTCCTGTCATGATTGGCTTGTTGACAATAAATTATCATTACATCTGAGAAAAAAAGAATGTATCCTTTTTGGTCCAAAAAGAAAATTAATTCAAACGCCCAAGGATACATTTCAGGTTTCTTGCAAAGGTCAAATTATTAATTCTCATTCGGCTGTAAAATACCTTGGGGTGATGATTGACAGATTTTTACCTGGAGAAGAAATTGTCTCAATGTCTTACAAAAAATCAATCAAATACTAAAATTCCTTTACAAAAATAGTAAGTGTCTATCCCAAAAATCACGAAAAACTCTATGTTCAGCTCTCATACAATGTCATTTCGATTATGCCTATTCATCCTGGTATGAGGGTTTTCCAAAATATATATAAAAAAAGTTACAAATAACCCAAAATAAAATGGTCAGTTTCATTCTTAACTTAAATAACAGGACAAGAATAACATGTACTGAACTACAAAAAAATAGTATGCTCAATGTAGAGGGAAGAGTTCGTTTAAATCATGCATTTAACCTCTTTAATGAGAAATGCCCTCAGTATATGCATGAATTTTTCACCAAAAAAAATTACACATATGGTACTAGATCCGGAAATTCAAATTTCGCTATTAAAAACGTCAAGGGTACAGAAACATCTACTTTTTTCTTTTCGGCTGCTAAAGATTGGAACTCTTTACCGGATCATATCAAAAATATCAAAAACAAACATAAATTCAAAACAAATTCTAAAAAACACCTTATGCTTCAAGCAAAAAAAATAAAGTGGATGATCTCTTTGTCTACTATTGAGCACACATGTATTACATTTTCATTATCACGAAATACATATATAGACCTGTGCAATGGCGCAGGTCGAGCAGACCTCGCTGGTAGGGGGACCCCCAACCCTTGGAAAGCTTGACTTGCGGCATTGCACAATGATTTCAAATTTCAAGTTTTCATGCCTTTCTAGAAACAGTAATGCAAAGATCTATCAGTATATTTGTTTTATTTTGATATCTTTGAAAATAATTATGTAAAAATATTCTATAGTTTGCTACTATAAGAAGCTGTCTGCCACTATAAAATAAGTATTGTGTATTGTTTTCTATATAGGAAATACAATTTACTGATTGATTATCGAACATGATACACACCTGTCCTATTCTGTGCTATCTGAACCGTTACCGGATTGATTTTCTTCATTTTTTATTATTTTTCTTCCATTTCTAAAGGACCCCATTGGAAATAAGCCACTTAGTGGCTGTATGGGTAATCCTAGGTAAATGGCAATCACCACCACTCCTATTATGCTATTTATTTATAAATACCTTCATTTACTCTATAGTCTGTCTCTTTTGTCTCATTTTATAGTAATATCTGCCTTTTTTTACAGTGTATCAGACTTTTTTTATGTTTCTATACTCTGTGATATATGTCAATGATTGAATTAAAAAACCTTTCGTTAGGTCAGATCTTTTATTATTCTCAGTCTTAATACAAAATACTCTTTTTTATTTACAAGCTGCATTGTGATCTTAATTATATATTTTATTCTAAATTGTGATATCTTGTAATAACATGCCTATTTTACCTGAATAAATATTATTATTATTATTAACAATAATAATAATGCATTATGTATTGCATCATGTATATTGTATTATTTTATTTTTCGTTCTACCACATGCACTTATATTAATGCCCTGGTGTGAGGGAGACCTGATGAGTTGTTCCCCCTCGATACATCATGCATGTTTCCCGAGGGCGAATTAATTTAATATTTCAAAATATATCATATTACAGCAATGAATCACATCGGTACACTTAGAACAATAATTGTTATTTCATTTTTGATATTTTTATTATTATAAATAAAAAATGTACACACGTATTTGTACACGTATATATATATGTAAGAGTGAATAAAAACGTTATGCAGATGAAATGAAACTTACAAATGGCGTATTAAAACATATGATTTTCGTTTTTAATTTGCAATAGTCTAAAGGGTATCCTTACTCAATATTTAAAATCAATTCGTGATGGCAATTCACTTTTTTAACAGCGGCTATATCCGGAAAAAATCTTCCGTCGAGTTACTTTAATTTTACGTTTCGTTATTCTAAATTGTCCTTGATGGAGCCGACACCGTTTGGGAAAACAACTCCCGATATTCCTTTCTTTTGAGATGGCATGTAAGATGATAAAGTCGGCAGGATTCCTCCGTTCATGTATTCACCGGAATAGTTCCAAGGTAATAGACTGTCATTCACTCAAAGTCGGTATATCTCCGATTTATAATGTAAACTTACATGTGTTCCGTTCCGGAATTACATTCGAGGTAAATACTGATTGCACGATAACTATTATACGTAACAGGCCACGCTTTTGATGGTAGTACCTCCTACATACTTGTATATATGATGTCATTTTGGTGTTTCCCACTCCACATGTTCCAATCTGAAATATGGACGAAGACCAAATGCTCTAGATCATTTTCGGTTTACCTCCCTTGTATCAATGACAGTAACTATATAGCTCGATTACAGTGTATGATTTCCTAAAGAGCTTGTCCAAATATATTTTCTGTCGACAAAACTAGTAACAGAACAGTTTCAGGAAATTATTTACAGTCATAGTCTTAAATTCCAACAAAATGTTTAAAATGCTAAAGGTTAATCTGTGTTTTTTGAAGTATTTTTTACATGTTTTGACAAGAAACAGCATTCTAATTTCTGTGTAACAAAGATGAAATAAAAATTCTAGTAGTGCTCAATACATTCCTGGTAATTCTAAATGCTGGACAGTTTTAAGCTTGTCTATTCAAAGATGGTAAACATTGATATAGATCTTATAACTGATGTACGGTTTCCTATCTACATGTAAATGACTGAGAGTTAAATGTTGAAACATAATAACGTATACATATAAGCTTGCACAATAGTTTTATATACACAATATACCAAAAAAGCACTACTGATAGGCCAGGGCCTCCATTACAATGAAATTTATTAAGTTCACCACATATACATGAGTGATCAAATTTTATAACTGGTAATGATATAGATATGTGGCAGGTTTTAATTGTACATTAGGATTAAGGTCGCCATCTGAGCTTCATTTATAAGCTAGAGGGAATTTCCCTTTAGCTCAGTGGTACAGCATTCAACTAGGATCCTGGAGATTAAGGGTTCAATCCCTGGTGGAAGTACACTATTCTCTTTCCTGTTACAAACTGTGTCAGTGACCCTCCCTGTGGTGACAGGGAGTTAGAACCTGGGTGTTGTGTTCGAGGGCGAACACATTTAAAAAGGGGGGACTAAGTGTGGCAGGTTTTAATTGTACATAGGATTAAGGTCGCCTTCTAGCTTCGAGCTAGAGGGAATTTCCCTTTAGCTCAGTGGTACAGCGTCTGACTAGGAACCTGGAGATTGAGGGTTTGATCCCCGATGGAAGCACACTATTCTCTTTCCTGTTAAAAATATATAATCATGCATTAATAATTTATGTTTATTAATTCTTTTCTAGAAATCAACAGTACCGCTAACATGGTGTAGGTGCCTGCACAGACAGCCTCTAGACCCTGTGTGGGAGGAGAGTGCAAAGAAGGAAATCAAGGGCAAGGATCCACTGGAAACCTTGACGTGGAGGACACCAGAGGTAAACTGTAGATATCTGTTCCATCTGTAGCTTACCTCCCGGATCTCCATGATGGTGTCGTGGGCCCGGGCGCTATGTATATAAGTCTGGGATGGGAGTCGACTACGGCAGGGATAAACTCAAACAAAGTCTAACAATATTATACCCTGTAAAACATTTAGTAATCTCTGTATCTAGTGAAGCCTCGGGTATACTGTTGGATATGATATATACAATATGTATGTATATATATTTGGTAAATTAATCCCTCCGTTATATCTGTTCTATTTTTTTCAGTACAAGTCTAGTACATGGTCTAGCAGGCCACCTTTAGCTGTTATTATACCAGCAGAAACGTTTCCACTGACTTAATCTAATGATTTCACGTGTGATGGAGAAGTCATCTGGGACAGTGGCTTTTCTTCTTACACCAAAGCATGAACATCAGTTTTTTTATAAAATGTACTGTATCCTGTAATCTTATAATTATGACATATCAAAATATTTTAGGGAATGAGAAATAATGTTTTAATGATATTTAAAAAAAACGCTTTGGTTGATAGGAGCAGGATTATAGCCAGTTGGCATCAAATCCAGACCTAGTTGACCATCTTATCGTTATTCCGAATGTTGATCAACCCCAGTGGAGCTATACTTATCATTATGGGTATAACAGTAGTGTACATAAATACAGTATATCAAAAACAGCAACACATATACAGGTGTATTACATTTGGTACACTTATTTTCAACATCAGACAGAATCAAACTGAAAATGAACTACATTTCTTATTCTTCATCAAATTCTTTTCCACAGGGAATAAATATTAAACCAGTGTATACAAAAGATGACACGACCCACATTGAGAAGGAGATACCGGGCCAGTACCCCTTTACCCGCGGCCCATACAGCACCATGTATTCATACCGCCCATGGACAATCCGACAGGTACTTATACAGGCTCCGTGTGACACTAGTCAAACAGCCAGGTTCACATTGGACCTCCACCTTTTTGTACCCAGATACTGAAGGGCATAATTTAAGCTGGAAAATTATTACCATTCTATAAAACATCATATAGTAACAAAGAGGAAAGAGCAATTTGAATATCATTATTAAATAAATGTGTATTTTCTGTTAACTTTACAGTAGCTGTCATTAACAAAATGTTTCATGAAGCTGTATGAATTCAGAGGACATCATTAATCTTCTGAGAGATCTTCCTAAATTATAATGTACAATCTATAAGCAGATGACAAAAGGTTAAATCATTCACCCCTAAAGACACATTTGAAGTCTCCCCATTCAAAGATTGGAATATTTCATTATAAAATTTCAGGGGTGAATGAGTTAACCTGATCCTGTATATATTGTTCCTGAATTTTGTAAACTTATTTATGTTTCAGTACGCAGGATTCAGTACAGTACATGAGAGTAATAAATTCTACAGAGACAATATTGCTGCAGGACAACAGGGGCTCAGTGTGGCCTTTGACTTGGCTACACACAGAGGGTAGGTCACCTCTCTATAACGACATCATATGTAAAATGACCCTCTGTCTGTAGTGACCATTTATTCAGAGGCTTGTCGACATCTTCCAGACTAAAATATAACAGCTTTTGTCAATAGAGGTTCTGTTCACAAGTGCACAAACCACATTCATGTGCAGTTTACTCTCACCTGAATTTTTCTGGTATAAAATAGTTATGAACCATTCATAGATAAATACTGCAAATATAACTATCTACAAATGTATTTACTCATTTTTAACTGGATTTATCACATACCTGTTGAATCTTGTTATAGTAATACAAGCAATTTTCAGACCATGAAATACAACGTTCTGTATTGCACATGTGCAATATGGAATGTTGTATTTACCTAGCGTGAACTACTTTTTATGGGAATCCCCTTGTCATGGTGGAACTAAAAAGTTCCCGGCATTGCAAAAAAAAATCAAAGTTTATATAATCTTTGTATCAATCTTTACCAAATACGGAAGGACAAGGTATGTGATAAAAGCAAGTCCACACACTTGTGTTTTTCTAACGAATCAGAAAGCACGAGTTTATTGTACGGACGAATATATTCACTCGTGCGCGGAAACAAGTGTGTGGTCTTGCATAATTATCACCTTGTAACCAGGGCCTGTATTCATGAAACCGTTCTCATTCTCAAGCACGGATTCTGTGCTCAAACCAACATCTTGTAACTTGCTTTAAATCATGTCAAACAATGAAAAGGTCAAATGTAAACATTGAAAACAGTTTTCGGCTTTAATTCTCTTCAATGTTTTTCCAAATCATTGAAAAAAAAAAATTATTAACAAGAAATTTGGTTTGATCACAGAATCCATGCTTGAGCATGAGAACAGTTTCATGAGTACAAACCCAGGTCAAAATAAAAACTTAAATAAACCAATTGTACCCGTAGTTACGACTCGGACAACATCCGTGTCCAGGGAGATGTGGGGATGGCCGGAGTGGCTATAGACTCGGTAGAGGACACCAACATCCTGTTCAGTGGCATCCCACTCAACAAAATCTCCACCTCCATGACGATGAACGGGGCGGTACTTCCTGTGATGGCTATGTATGTGGTGTCCGCTGAGGAACAGGTCAGTGAATTTAACACAAAATCTAACATTATAATGCCATTTTACCTCATAATAATGCTACCGATAATTTGAATTATGCCATTATGTAAACCTAAAGATAACGTGTATGATGTCAAGCTAAAGATTCTGTATACAAGGAAGATTTCACCTAATTATAACTTTCGACCCACGCTGGTAGTCAAAATCCATCGTGTGTTAATTTTGCTCTTCATATCTGGTTGCTATGTTTATTGTGTTTACTAATGTTAGCGAATTTATGATAAATTCGCCCTCATTACTGAGGGCAAAAAAGACGAAAGTTAAACTGCAGTGAAAGTTTCCTGGTATACAATAACCTATATGATGTCATCCCATAATGCTAGGTATATCTTGTACAAAAGGATTGATTATTGCAGTCATAAAATAGCACACTGACTCCATGCTCGAGGAATATACGTTAAAAACATATTATTGATTTCTGCTATAGCGCTGTACATATGTGTATTAGCGCATTAGAGATTGTACAGAAGGCACAAAAATAAAAATACTGCTTCAATGACAAAATTGGCGGCAATAGTGACCCCTCACTAATAGTGGTTTGTACAATCTACACAGATTTGTAAAGACAAGATAAAGTGGTAGGTTGATATGCTGATCATGTTTGTCGTCAGACACAGTACTAATTGATAGACCTTTGATTTTTCATTTTCACACTGGATTACAGTATACACTGAAATAGTCGTCGCATTAACATTTTCGCCTTTTTTACCCTTTGTTATGAGGATGTATTTATCACGCTAGAGAAAAGAAGAAAACAGCAAACCATATACAAATCAATGTTTAGTAATAAAATGTGAAGGATGAATTAAGACTATGCTTAAAAGGGTTCTACCATTGGAGGGTGAACATTTAACTGGGCCAAAGTCTCTCGGTAAACACTATCATTTTGAAATCATGACTTTATGAGGTATAACATGGGATAATATTTTGTATTGAATTGTTTCCATCACAGCTGCACTTACTCCTGATATGTCCTAAACAATACCACCATAATCCCTACATGTACACTTAACAGAAGTCTATGGCTGTCATACTATCTAATATCATTCACCACCAGATGGTGTGATTAATTCTAGATACAAATGTACCATATAAATATAAGTGTTCATCTTTTGTTTTCTCCCATGTTGGGATGTAGGGTGTGAAACAATCAGAGTTAGCAGGAACAATACAAAACGACATCCTCAAGGAGTTCATGGTGAGGAACACCTACATCTTCCCCCCAGAACCCTCTATGAAGGTCATTGGGGACATTTTCGAGTATACATCGAAGGTAACTATATATACTTTAAGTACTTTTACCTGTAAAAATACCCAGCTATATAACATTTCTTGTCTCTTTCACTCTGTTAAATACAGATACAATGTATAAAGTTTGTTAAATACAGATACAATGTATAAAGTTTGTTAAATACAGATACAATGTATAAAGTTTGTTAAATACAGATACAATGTATAAAGTTTGTTCAATATAGATACAATGTATAAAGTTTGTTCAATATAGATACAATGTATAAAGTTTGTTAAATACAGATACAATGTATAAAGTTTGTTAAATACAGATACAATGTATAAAGTTTGTTAAATACAGATACAATGTATAAAGTTTGTTAAGTATAGATACAATGTATAAAGTTTGTTAAATATAGATACAATGTATAAAGTTTGGAATGTTGTCACTTGTTGGGCATAAACTTTTACCATGGTAATGTTAACGAGACTATACTGTAAGATATCATTCCTAATGTGTCTTTCGGAGAACAAAGTTTCCACTTTTAACAAAAGCCACTTGGATTTTCATCGGAAGACAGATAAATTGTATTGATTTATGTATATGCTAATTGTATTAATTGTATATCTATGTACTGTAAAGCGCTTAAGAGTGGCTTAATTATGTTACATGTAGCTAGATAGGGCGTTATATCAAATGCTGTATATTATTATTTATTATTATAAGTTACCCAGTATATATACAACTCAAAAAACATCACAAAATTCATTTAATACTGTTTTACTTGCAATCAATGATACAGAAGACTACCCAGGTAACATAAGATGAGGGCATGTTGCTGTCCAGATTTTCTCTGTCATGGCCATTGGATGATTTTGTAACATTAGACCTACAAAACTCAGATTATGCATTGACCATCCATAAATTGTTTAAATATGATGTATCATCCTCAGTGTTTCCTATCTTCAGAATATGCCAAAGTTTAACTCCATATCAATATCGGGATATCACATGCAAGAGGCTGGTGCTGATGCTGTGTTAGAGCTGGCGTTTACCCTGGCCGACGGTCTACAGTACATACAGACAGGTGAGCACTTCAGCAGAGGGCTGAAATGTTTTAACATTTATATCCTGCCACCCTATTTAGGTATTATGGTCTAGTAGAATCTTCACCACCTTGGAGGTGAGATAGGGGGCCTCCACTCGAGCAGAACTATTCTTAACAACTCCAAACCAACTTTCCTGGTATTTGAAAACTTAGGGCCGAGATCTTCTCATCCAATCCCCAATTGAGTGAATTGATCTTTTTCTCTTTCCCTGTTGACCCTGTCATGTATATATACCAATGTTGATGTTATAATCTCATTGCCTTGATGAAACGACTTCAATGCATTGAACTTTAATGCATGTGAATTCATAATTGTTATGACTGTGTCATCCATTCATCTCAACCTTAAGATGAGACTAATAGATTCTCTCAACCCCTGGGGGTGAGATAGGGGAATCTCAACCCGATGGGGAAGATTCTTTAGTTGCAAAACACAAGGCTTGACAGAGAGGTCGAAACAGGGGAATTCCTCTATTCATAACAAAGGCATGAAGACACGTCAACAATACAATGAGGTCACTTCACAATCCATCAACGTCAAGTCAACCCTGAATTTAGCCTGTAACATTAGCATTACATCATGTATATGTACACAATGGAAGAACAGGGTAAGAGAAAAAGAATTATTTACCCCCTTGGGGTTGAGATAGGGAAATCTCAACTTTGGGGAAAGATTCTTAAGTTAGCCTTGTGTTTGGCAACGTAAGAATCTTTCCCCTCGGGTTGAGATTCCCTTATCTCACCCCCAAGGGGGTGAGAGATTCTAATATTCTCTTACCCTGGACAGATTTATCCTTACTTTTACTGGTGTGAGATTTCCTTGTCTCACCCTAGAGTTGAAACAAGCTACATGTGCTCTTTGCACGTTCTCCACAATAAACCTGACGTCGCTGATGTGATCTCAACCGTCGGGGGGGAATATTCTTAAGTTGCCAAACACTCGGCAAAGCCTCGTGTTTGGCAAATTAAGAATCTTCCCCCCTCGGGTTGAGATCCCCCTATCTCACTCCCAAGATGAAAGTTTTATTAATCTCACACTGGTAAAAGTGTGGATACACCTGTCCAGGGTAAGAGATAAGGAAATCTCACACCGGTAAAAGTGTGGATACATCTGTCCAGGGTAAGAGACAAGGATATCTCACACTGGTAAAAGTGTGGATGCACCTGTCCAGGGTAAGAGACAAGGATATATCACACTGGTAAAAGTGCGATACACCTGTCTAGGGTAAGAGACAAGGATATATCACACTGGTAAAAGTGTGGATCCACCTGTCCAGGGTAAGAGATAAGGAAATCTCACACAGGTAAAAGTGTGGATACACCTGTCCAGGGTAAGTGACAAGAATATCTCACACCGGTAAAAGTGTGGATACACCTGTCCAGGGTAAGAGACAAGGATATATCACACTGGTAAAAGTGCGGATACACCTGTCTAGGGTAAGAGACAAGGATATATCACACTGGTAAAAGTGTGGATACACCCGTCCAGGGTAAGAGACAAGGATATATCACACTGGTAAAAGGGTGGATACACCTGTCCAGGGTAAGAGACAAGAATATCTCACACCGGTAAAAGTGTGAATACACCTGTCCAGGGTAAGAGACAAGGAAATCTCCAACCGGTAAAAGTGTGGATGCACCTGTCCAGGGTAAGAGACAAGGAAATCTCAGTGGTAAAAGTGTGGATACACCTGTCCAGGATAAGAGACAAGGAAATCTCCCACCGGTAAAAGTGTGGATACACCTGTCCAGGGTCAATTGTCTGGTAAAAGTGTGGAGACACCTGTCCAGGGCAAGGGACAAGGAAATCTCCAACCGGTAAAAGTGTGGATACACCTGTCGAGGGTAAGAGACAAGGATATATCACACTGGTAAAAGGGTGGATACACCTGTCCAGGGTAAGAGACAAGCATATCTCACACCTGTAAAAGTGTGGATACCCCTGTCCAGGGTAAGAGATAAGGATATCTCACACTTGTAAAAGTGTGGATACACCTGTCCAGGGCAAGAGACAAGGATATATCACACTGGTAAAAGAGTGGATACACCTGTCCAGGGTAAGAGACAAGCATATCTCACACCTGTAAAAGTGTGGATACCCCTGTCCAGGGTAAGAGATAAGGATATCTCACACTGGTAAAAGTGTGGATACACCTGTCTAGGGTAAGAGACAAGGATATATCACACTGGTAAAAGGGTGGATACACCTGTCCAGGGTAAGAGACAAGGGTATCTCACATCAGTGAGAGTGTGGATACACCTGTCCAGGATAAGAGACAAGGATATATCACACTGGTAGAAGTGTGGATACACCTGTCCAGGGTAAGAGCCAAGGATATCTCACACCAGTAAAAGTGTGGATACACCTGTCCCGGGTAAGAGACAAGGAAATCTCACATCAGTAAAAGTGTGGATACACCTGTCCAGGGTAAGAGACAAGGATATATCACACTGGTAAAAGTGTGGAGACACCTGTCCAGGGTAAGGGACAAGGAAATCTCCAACCGGTAAAAGTGTGGATACACCTGTCCAGGGTAAGAGACAAGGATACATCACACTGGTAAAAGTGTGGAGACACCTGTCCAGGGCAAGGGACAAGGAAATCTCCAACCGGTAAAAGTGTGGATACACCTGTCGAGGGTAAGAGACAAGGATATATCACACTGGTAAAAGTGTGGAGACACCTGTCCAGGGCAAGGGACAAGGAAATCTCCAACCGGTAAAAGTGTGGATACACCTGTCCAGGGAAAGAGACAAGGATATATCACACTGGTAAAAGTGTGGAGACACCTGTCCAGGGTAAGGGACAAGGAAATCTCCAACCGGTAAAAGTGTGGATACACCTGTCCAGGGTAAGAGGCAAGGATATCTCATATTAATCTCACACTGGTAAAAGTGTGGATACACCTGTCCAGGGTAAGAGGCAAGGATATCTCATATTAATCTCACACTGGTAAAAGTGTGGATACACCTGTCCAGGGTAAGAGGCAAGGATATCTCATATTAATCTCACACTGGTAAAAGTGTGGATACACCTGTTCAGGGTAAGAGACAAGGATATCTCACACTGGTAAAAGTGTGGATACACCTGTCCAGGGCAAGAGACAAGGATATCTCACTGGTAAAAGTGTGGATACACCTGTCCAGGGAAAGAGACAAGGATATATCACACTGGTAAAAGTGTGGAGACACCTGTCGAGGGTAAGGGACAAGGAAATCTCCAACCGGTAAAAGTGTGGATACACCTGTCCAGGGTAAGAGGCAAGGATATCTCATATTAATCTCACACTGGTAAAAGTGTGGATACACCTGTCCAGGGCAAGAGACAAGGATATCTCACTGGTAAAAGTGTGGATACACCTGTCTAGGGTAGGAGACAAGGATATCTCACACCAGTAAAAGTGTGGATTCACCTGTCCAGGGTAAGAGACAAGGAAATCTCACATCAGTAAAAGTGGGGATACACCTGTCCAGGGTAAGAGACAAGGATATCTCACACTGGTAAAAATGTGGATACACCTGCCCAGGGTAAGAGATTAATAGAATCTTTCCCCCCCTTGGGGGTGAGACAGGGTAATCTCAACCTGAGGGGTAAGATTCTTAATTTGTCAAACACGAGGCTTACCGAGTGTTTGACAGCTTAATAATCTTACCCAAAGGGTTGAGATGACCCTGTCTCACTCCCAAGGGGGTGAATGATTATTTTTCTCTTACCCTGTTTACCCTTGTATTTTATATAGACGTTACATCAATGCAAGACAATGTTGATGTGATGCGGCTGAATTGTTGCCGTGACGTCAATGTATTGTTGCCGTGACGTCATGGTATTGTTGCTGTGACGTCATACAGTTGTTGAGAACGTGCAAAGAACACGTGTAGCTTGTCTCAACTCTAGGGTGAGATAAGAAAATCTCACACCGGTAAAATGGTGGGTATCCCAGTCCAGGGTAAGAGAAAAGGATATCTCACACTGGTAAAAGTGTGGATACACCTGTCCAGGGTCAATTGTGCTTTTGTTACTGTGAACGTTGTCCGGCCTGGGGAATGGTAAGTGTAGAGATGCCTGCTAATGACCAAATTGGTCCATGAGAGATATGCTTAAACATCCCAGTCCTGGCTTATTTTGCCTCTATTTGTAGATGTTACAGCAAATCACCCCTCAAATTAGTTTTAATATCATTATCAATGATCAAAACCCAATAATATCAGACCTGCTAACCTTTGAATCTCCCAGTGGGGTCATGACCCCCATGGGAAATTCTGTCGGGGGTGATAACGCGCAAAAAAAATAAATGGAATATTTTACATTAATATCATGACCAATGGGCAATGGTTTAACAGTTTGGTCATTATAATATGCTTCAGTACATTACAGAAGGAAAATGAAATTTCACAAATTGGCTTGCCAATGTATATCATAAGGTTTAGACAATATTTGACTGATGTTTACAAGGAATTGTCTAGGGCAAAAGATCATGAGAGATGTTTAACGTATTGTTTTGACACTGACAGGGCTAGACAGAGGTCTGGACATAGACAAGTTTGCACCACGACTGTCGTTCTTCTGGGGGATCGGAATGAACTTTTATATGGTAAGTATTATTTTTGAAAAGATTTTGACTTCACCTGTTTTTAAAATTAATTACACTGCTTAGTCTATACAAATCAATGTGGGAGAAGATCTTGTATTGTCAACCGTTTTTTGTTGGAAGCATCATATGCATCCTGCTGCTAACATTTGCTGTGAATTTTATTGGAAAATACCTATAAAAGGCAAAATACATATGGTTGATTTTGAGAGATTAAATAGAAATGTGGCTGACAGCAGGAGAAGCAGTCTTTTTCTTTGGCGTAATATATTAGGTTAGTATGACCCTTTCCAGAACATCAATAACTTTATTTACACTGTACTAGCTTCTGTCATCCTCTGATTAAATTCATAAATGAAATGTAAGTGTTATTGGATTATAATTCAGTTCAGTTCAGGTATTACGTCAGTCTGAGATAGTTTTTGATTTATTAATTTATTGTTTTTGCTTTTTAAGGAAATAGCTAAAATGAGAGCAGCCAGGAGACTTTGGGCCAATCTTGTGAAGGAAAAGTTTGAACCCAAAAACCCCAAGTCACTGTTGTTGAGAGCTCACAGTCAGACGTCGGGCTGGTCACTTACAGAACAGGTATTTACTGAACTGACCGGACTAAGGAGAAGATAACTCTCACTAGTTACATTTCACTCAAAGAACATTAACACTGAGCTGTAAAACCAGACAAAGATCTAGAGAAAAAGAGAAAAAAATGAGACAGAAAATCTAATTTTAGAAGGCTTACATGATTATTCTTAGTCATCTACTATCCATAGAGTTTCTTTATATACATGTATCCATATAATTAAAATATTTTAATATTTTACCAAACTAGTACATTATACAGGTCCGTGTGAATGCAATCCCAGTTCCATCAAATTTTGTTTTAAAAGATGGCTTAGCTTGAGATAAGATCAAATTAAGCTGTTCTTGATGTTATAAAACTTTAAGGTCACTTTAGATAATTTAATTTTGATGATGTAATTTACTTGCTGAATAAGTTAAAAATCCTGATGAAACTTAAAGGCATTGTTACTTGAGTTTATAAATGAAAAGGAGCTTATAATGCTAAATTATATAAACATGTAAAACTCCACAGGATCCCTACAATAACATCATGCGTACTGTGATTGAGGCGATGGCGGCAGTCTTCGGAGGAACACAGTCATTACATTCTAATTCATTTGATGAAGCCCTTGGTCTACCGACACCATTTAGTGCCCGCATCGCTCGTAATACACAGATCATACTCCAGGAGGAGTCGGGAATCCCTAACGTGGCGGACCCGTGGGGAGGCTCCTACATGATGGAGAGTCTCACCGAAGACATGTACAACGCTGCACTCAAGGTCATCATGGAGGTCAGTTCATTAACTATTTGTTATTCTGCTATTTTGAAATGTCATTTTGACTGTGATGTGTAGAGTCATCAAATTCTGCAAAGCTGCTCATTGGTATGTCGATCCTGCTCACCTGATCAATATAGGCTGGTGATCTGATAGATACATGCAGTTCAATATGTTAAACATCCTGGACACTCCAATGACCCCACTCACACAGGCTCTCTGCACCCAACAACCCGACAAACTCGAAGGCATTTTAAGGATGTTACAAGAAGACTAGTTTGATCCTTTGATGTTTAAGTTGGGTGTCACTTCTCTGTAATCTTCAATGGACAGGTTCCAGCCAAACAATTGGCAGATTTGTTATCTGAAAAAAAATGCCTAGCAAGCTGTGTGCCTTCAGTTTTGCCATTTCATGTTTGCAGGGTGCTGAGTGAACATGATATCTGGAGTATCAAGGATGGTCTGTACTAAAAAGTAACAGCTTTGCATAAGATGAAATATTTGATATAGTAATGTTCAAATCTACTTTAAATAAAATTAATTAATTTCATCAAAATTAGTGCACTGTAAACCTAAACTGTCCTTATTAAATTTCTTATCCTAGATTGAGGAGATGGGTGGTATGGCGAAGGCCGTGGCCTCTGGGATGCCCAAACTGAAGATTGAGGAATGTGCTGCTAAGCGCCAGGCAAGGATTGACAGTGAACAGGAAGTGATTGTAGGGGTCAATAAACACAGACTGACCACGGAGCAACACGTAGAAGTCCGGTCTATTGACAACGAACAAGTCCGTACTGAGCAGTTAGAGCGACTTGACAAGGTCAAGGCCAGCCGAGACCAAGCCAAGGTATGATGTGATACTGATCATCTGTTCTTGATATACGAAAATAATTTAATCTTGCTTGTAACAAGCGTTTTCATTGGCTTAAAAATTTATGTTATGTTTTATACATAAAAAAAATGACGTCGCCGTTTGTAACGTCGCTTTTGATTGGCTGATGCTGCAGCGCAATAATTTCTAAGAGAAAATTAAAGAGTCCATCAATAAAAGTGGATTTCCACAAGGATTGTCTATAGTAGATTAAATTATAAGGAATTAAATATGAAGGGTGAAAATTAACACTGGCCGAACATTGATTTCATGGGCGAAGGGCATAATTTTGACCGGATGGAAATTTGTCAGTTTACAGTCTGATGGAATATGGGACTCTCCTTTTGTTGTTTGACCTTCACATTGCAGTTGACAAGTACATCGTTCTAAAGGTCCGTCAATTTAGTTGTACATTTACAAGGAATTGTGGAAACATTTAAACATATACAGTTGTGAGATCGCACAATGTTACACGGTGTGCATGCGATGTGCGATCCATAAAAATCTGGACGATTACTACTTACACACATTTTTGCCACAAAACTATGTGTTGTTTCTATCCATTATTAATAGATCTGCCTTAATTTTGAGAAGTTTTTATTCTTTGAATTTTGTTTAGAATTTTGCATTAATTTTTCAACAACTTCACCTACAGGTAACAGAAACTCTGGGAGCTATTGTTAAGGCTTGTGAGAGTGGTGATGGTAACCTGTTGGGCCTCAGTATGGATGCGGCCAGAGCAAGGTGTACAGTCGGGGAAATCACAGAGGCCATGACAAAGGTGCGGGTACTTAACAATTATGCAAGGTCCCTGTCCCCTTTGTAAATATGTATTCCAGCGCCTCATCTGACACTTTCTGCCATGAAATGTGAATGAACAGTACTGATTGATAAATCTGTTACCATATGTTATTTGGCTAGATCTCTATTGGTAGACATTTTAGTTCGACTATAGGCGAACTCCATCTAAGACAGCACTTGGGCAGAATTTTGGATAAGAAGACTTAAGGGAGGAATCCTCTGATAGAATCCTGCTCTATCCATTTAACTGTTTCAGCCATAATCCTGCCTTTAGTTCACTTAAGATACTTTTTTTATTTTATTTTGTATTGCATCAATCACATAATTAAGGTACAAAGGTTTTTGATGAAAACATACACTATATACAAAATATCAGATACAGAGTTCATTCTAAAATAAGTTGGATACTTTCCCATTTTTGCCGGATTTTGTTCGCTGTATTTTGGGTCAACATATATATAGGTCGAATATAGATCAAGATTACTGTAATTTTGAATAAATGTCTTACATGTTTCCCAGTTTGGAATTTTATTGTATTGTCGCATCAACGATATATATTTGTTAATAAGCAATATGCATATATTTAAACCCATCAATAAGATAGTGATTAGTCTCTTAGGAAAATTTGTATATACCCCTTAAAATATTCTGGCCGTTCCTGCCAATATTTTTTCATACAGGTAAATGTTTCATAAATTAAGACAATAAATACTTGTCATAATATTTTTTCAAAATTAACTATGTTCAATTTCCTTTTCAAAAGTTTTCCCAGTATAGTGTGATCTTGGCATTTCAATCTTACAGCATCTACTTGCATGATGTTTATAGTATACATTGTATTAGTACGGTACTGTATACAATGAATGCATGTACTGTATAAACATTGATTTTGTCATTTCACACTTTGTTGCAGTCAGACTAAGACAAACATGTATGCCATGCAGTTTTTAATTAGATTATTTTGTGGCTGTATTAAATTTTCAGATATTTATTTCCACAAAAATCATGAAAATCGCCCTGTGGGAAAAATTGACCCATCTTAATGTTCATGCGTACATTTGTGCTCTGTTTAGGTGTTTGGACGCCACGTAGCCTCAGACAGGATGGTCAGTGGAGCTTACAAATCAGCTTTTGGAGAGGATGATGAAATTAGCAAAGTGACCAAAAAAGTGGAGGTATGTTGCTTGACACACTCTAAGTATAAATGGTCAGACATGTTAGCTTTTCTGCAAAATGACATTAAAACATGATGCCATAACCATCCCACTAAATGAGGACCTTATTTTTTACTAAATTATGTAGGAAAAATAGTTAATATATCCAGATGAGTTGCATTGGCCCTCTGGGCCTCTTGTTAATAAAGAGATCCATGAAAAACATTTATTTTCAAAAAAGCTAATCATGTCAATTAAATAACACAGTCTGCTATACTGTCCTGTCTTACATCTATCCAAACAAAATGTTACAGTTATGAAGGGCTGATGTAAATACATTGTATTTGTATAAGTAGATTGAGTTGCTTCCCTTCTAATACTCTGGAGATTCACCAGCATAGTGCGGTAAAGGTATGCTCATACATATATATAGATAAGGATCCCTGTTGGCCAAAACCTGTACCTTAATATCCATTGGAAACTATTTTTTACCTGCGTGGCGATAACTTCAATAAATCATTTCTGAAAAAAACCCATACCTTGTGGAACTTTAATTAAAAAATAAAAAATAAATGAAATAAAGAAAATATAATCAACAGCAGTGTTCTGAGTGTAACAATTCAGTGTGGCTAGACCGGTATTCATACCATGGACATATAATTCAGTGTGCCTAGACCAGTATTTATACCAAGGACTTATAATTTAGTGTGGCTAGACCGGTATCCATACCATGGACTTATAATCCAGTGTGGCTAGACCAGTATTCATACCATGGACTTAAAAGTCAGTGTGGCTAGACCGGTACTCATACCATGGACTTATAAATCAGTGTGGCTAGACCAGTATATATACCAGGGACTTATAATTTAGTGTGGCCAGCCAAGTATTTTTACCAGGGACTTATAATTCAGTGGGGCTAGACGGTATTTATACCAGGGACATATAATTCAGTGTGCCTAGACCAGTATTTATACCTGGGACTTATAATTAAGTGTGGCTAGACCGGTATTAGTCCCATGGACTTATAATTCAGCGTGGCTAGACCAGTATTTAGACCCTGGACTTATAATTTAGTGTGGCTAGACCGGTATTAGTCCCATGGACTTATAATTCAGGGTGGCTAGACCAGTATTTATCCCAGGGACTTATAATTCAGGGTGGCTAGACCAGTATTTATCCCAGGGACTTATAATTCAGTTTGGCTAGACCAGTATTTATTCCAGGGACTTATAATTCAGTGAGGCTAGACCGGTATTTATACCAGTGACTTATAATTCAGTGTGGCCAGACCAGTATTCATACCAGGGACTTACAATTCAGTGTGGCTAGTCCGGTATTCATACCATGGACATATAATTCAGTGTGGCTAGTCCGGTATTCGTACCATGGACTTATAATTCGGTGTGGCTAGACCGGTCTTCATAACATGGACTTATAATTCAGTGTGGGTAAACCAGTATTTATACCAAGGACTTATAATTTAGTGTGGCCAGCCAAGTATTTTTACCAGGGACTTATAATTCAGGGTGGCTAGACCAGTATTTATGCCAGGGACTTATAATTCAGGGTGGCTAGACCAGTATTTATGCCAGGGACTTATAATTCAGGGTGGCTAGACCAGTATTTATATCAGTGACTTATAATTCAGTGTGGCTAAACTGGTATTCATACCAGGGGCTTATAATTCAGTGTGGCCAGACCAGTATTCATACCAGGGACTTACAATTCAGTGTGGCTAGTCCGGTATTCATACCATGGACTTAAAAGTCAGTGTGGCTAGACCGGTATCCATACCATGGACTTATAATTAAGTGTGGCTAGACCGGTATTAATACCATGGACTTACAATTCAGTGTGGCTAGACCTGTATTCATACCATGGACTTTTAATTCAGTGTGGCCAGACCAGTATTCATACCAGGGACTTACAATTCAGTGTGGCTAGACCCGTATTCTTACCATGGACTTATAATTAAGTGTGGCTAGACCGGTATCCATACCATGGACTTATAATCCAGTGTGGCTAGACCAGTATTTATGCCAGGGACTTATAATTCAGGGTGGCTAGACCAGTATTTAGACCCTGGACTTATAATTTAGTGTGGCTAGACCGGTATTCCTACCATGGACTTATAATTTGGTGTGGCTAGACCGGGATTCTTAACATGGACTTATAATTCAGTGGGGCTAGACGGTATTTATACCAGGGGCATATAATTCAGTGTGGCTATACCCGTATTAAAACCATGGAGTTATAATTCAGTGTGGCTAAACCGGTATTCTTACCATGGACTTAAAATTCTGTGTGGCTAGACCGGTATTAGTCCCATGGACTTATAATTCAGGGTGGCTAGACCAGTATTTATCCCAGGGACTTATAATTCAGGGTGGCTAGACCAGTATTTAGACCCTGGACTTATAATTTAGTGTGGCCAGCCAAGTATTTTTACCAGGGACTTATAATTCAGTGTAGCTAGACCGGTATTCATACCCTGGGCTTATAATTCCGTGTGGCTAGACCGGTATTCGTACCATGGAGTTATAATTCAGTGTGGCTATACCAGTATTTATACCAGGGTCTTATAATTCAGTGTGGCTCGACCGGTATTCACACCATGGACTTACAATTCAGTGGGGCTAGACCGGTATTCATACCAAGGACTTATAATTTAGTGTGGCCAGCCAAGTATTTTTACCAGGGACTTATAATTCAGTTTGGCTAGACCGGTATTTATACCAGGGACATATAATTCAGTGTGCCTAGACCAGTATTTATACCAGGGCCTTATAATTCAGTGTGGCAGACCGGGATTCATACCATGGGCTTTTAATTCAGTGTGGCTAGACAGGGATTCATACCATGGACTTTTAATTCAGTGTGGCCAGACCAGTATTCATACCAGGGACTTATATACCAGGGACTTATAATTAAGTGTGGCTAGACCGGTATCCATACCATGGACTTATAATCCAGTGTGGCTAGACCAGTATTCATACCATGGACTTATAATTCAGTGTGGCTAGACTGGTATTCATACCAGGGACTTATAATTCAGTGTGGCTAGACTGGTATTCATACTATGGACTTCAGATTGTTAAACTTTCGCTCTCTGATTGAGCTACCAAACAACAAAAAAAGGGGATGTTACTGCAAAAACCTCAGTGCTTTAGGACAAGGATCCTTCAAAGTTTGATCAAACAAATAAAGTCTGAGCGCCTGCCGTGATATGTACAAATTCATCTCTTTTTACTTGATAGAGTTTCTCTGAAAAGGAGGGTCGCCGCCCCCGTATTCTGGTTGCCAAGGTTGGACAGGATGGTCATGATCGAGGGGGCAAGGTCATAGCTACAGGGTTTGCTGACCTTGGATTTGATGTTGACATTGGACCCTTGTTCGCTGTAAGTGATGATTACGATACTTCATTAATACTATAAGGTTTACTGTCCGTCGGTACATCATTTTGTCCAGCTGGGCGCATCTCCTAATGATGCTCTGTATAGCCTACAACTGCCGATGTATCGGAGTATCTCTTTGATGTATACTGAACTAAAATCAGGTCTCCTCCTGCACCTTATAGAGTATAATTACCCTTTTTTCAATGTGTGCCTTGTCCAGGGCTTACCATAAACCTAGTTACTTGAAATAAGCAGAACGTTCGAACACATTTGTTTTACAATGAAAAGAATATTTTTCTATCTACTGATAGATCAAACCACATTTCAGATTGTTCGAAAACAAAAGAGAAGTCATTTGGAAAGCATGGTGTTTAGTTTAGTTTTTTAAATGGAGAAATATATCAGGTAGTAGTATATAGATGATAAATAGTTTATCATACAGTATTTTCAGCGTTTGTTGTTCAAACAATTTTCTCATTGCTCGCATGAAGATAAAATCTTGAATCTACCTGCGGTGGCCTCGGGATTTTATCCACATGCTGGTGATGAGAAAATTGTTCTCACAACAAACCCTGAAAATACAGTGTGATAATCTATAAATATATATTGATCAAATTTGGCTATCGGCAATCAAATAACAGCCTTGCAAAACTATCAAACTGATGAATTTTCATACTGACAGCATTTAATCAACTGAGTAAGGGGTATTACTCATGATGTGGGACTCTCTTAGAAAACTATGTCTTACAAGTTTTACTTAGATATACTTTATGTAAGCGATGATTGAGTTTCTTTCTTATATACATACAATGTATGCATACGCCAGTTAAACAACTTTGGCCCCAACCATGTATAACAACATATCAGTACTGAGCACAGAACATTCCAAATGTGTATATTATGACGATATTACTTTGTTTACAATTTGATTATATAATCGTGACCTGGCCACAGATTCCTGATTTATTGCTAAACTGTTAATGTTAGCTAGGTGTACATACATGTGCCAAAACTAACAGGTTTGACAAGGTGGTTGGTCAACCTAATTAATTTTGCACCCTCCGTATTCTGGTACCATTAAACTTCTGTCAATACTCCGGAAACATGGACTACTTTGCCACCTATGTACTTTGCTTCACGATTAAGTGCATATATATAGAACTTGATAACATGTAAGTAAATACTAGAACGACACCTGTACCATTGTTGGTCGCCCAGATTTGTAACTGTACCATTGTTGGTCGCCCAGATTTGTAAGTGTACCATTGTTGGTCGCCCAGATTTGTAACTGTACCATTGTTGGTCGCCCAGATTTGTAAGTGTACCGTACAGGCTGTCATTGTCCATTATCAACGGCTTGTCAGTTTGGTATGATGATCGCTCGAATAGTTTTCTATTTTAGTCGCTATATTTTTGTAATGTGCGGGTGGTCATCCAACCAACTACTGACCACGCTCAACATTGCTGAACTAGTGAGCAGGTCCCAAGGTTATACCGCATCACTGGAAAAAGCTAGCTTGATAGTAAAGCAGTATTTTCCTGGGAAATTCCTTAGACGTCACAATTCCATGTAATTCGAACAGGAATGACAATATTTTGTTGATCTGAGCGAAAGTACTGTATCTCACCGTATCTGCCATTGCAAATTTTTGCATTCAGGTACCTCTCTGGTTATCTTAGTGCTTTGTACTGGAATTGGGTCTCATGCCCTACTGTAGCATATACAGAGTTATGGCCCTTTGTTCTTTACTTAAAAATGCAATTTTCCTGGAACATATTTAAAATTTCCTTACTTTTTCACCTGCGACATGTACCTTTCTATACTGGTATACCTGTATCTTAAACGTATTTTTAATTGTTAAGTGTGAATAACATTACCATATAATCATGGCTACATATTTTGACGGCTGGGGGAACATGGATTTCTCATAATCCTTTTCCGTGTTGTAGTTGGGTTGATTCTTTATAGTTAGTCTTGCAGAAGGCATAAAACAGATATGTTTCCTACAATAACGCCATTGGGATCATACCCTGTTCCTCTCCAAAACAGTGCCATAGAAAAAGTTCTGTTACAGCTAGGAGACTGTAACAGAAGTTGTTGATCTATAGATTTTCGTTTTATTTCTCACACATTCCTAGCTTGGCACAGCGAGCCGACCTTTCAGCTAGCACAGATTTTAATCAACATACAGTGTATTAATTATAATTGTTAAATTTTATATTGTTATCATTGTACGCTACCCATCAAATTAAAAAGAAAAAAGATCACACATATACATCAAATGATAATAATCTTTGTTTCTGTTCACAATCAAATAATCCATAGTTTAATCATGGTGAAATTCCGACTGAGGAAATATGGTGACATATGTTAACAAAAGAGATAGAATATACACAAAAGTTTATCTCACTCCCGGGGGATTCCATTTGTATAGTTCAAGTTTTGCTCAGAAAGTACATCATTGTTTAAATGAAAAAAAAAAGAAAAAAAAATGGAAGCGACCTGGCATTCGTTCCTAGAGTTGAGGATTGTGTCTCAGTGGTCAATTATCTTTTCAAAGTTTTCAGATATGCCCAGTTACATATATATATAAGTAAAAAGACTGTTTTGAGTTTGTCGAAAGATATGTTGTGTATAAAAGAAATTTCCAAACAATCGGAAATCTCAACAAAAAAAATATATGATATAAATGCATAACATATGACATTAAAAACACTACTCCTAGTGTCTAGACTAACACTTTATATAAACAAGCTTATTTATGGGCCTGTGAAAGGAAAGGCCTCATTAGTATCAGTTTAGGTGCTTAAAATATTCATGTATATAATGTAAAACAAACTTTATATGTATACACTTAACTAGGTATTCTAGAAATTAAAACAAAGTGTAGATATTTTTATATGATGAACGGAGTTGAAATGCACTGTTACCTAAGTACATATAGGTGATAATGTCAGCTAGACAGGGCCTAACACCAACACCGATCACACACGCACCCTCCACAATGTACATATAGATGATAATGTCAGCTAGACAGGGCCTAACACCAACACAGATCACACACACACCCTCCACAATGACACCTCAGAGATGATTGGTTTATCCCAGAAATGGCTACCTGATTACTTACTTAATTAAATTTTGTGGTATATATACATGTAGCAGTGTTAAAGGTCAATGCACACTTTTCAGTGGAAATAATTTTATAGATGGCTTTAATTATATATATTATATCTATTCTAAAGGCTTTTTAAATTAGAGTATACTTATCATGGTAAACAAGTACAGTGTGTATTAGCCTTAAGTAAACCAAAGAGCTGGGAATTAACCCACCACTCGGGGCAAATTTATAATCATAATGCACATTACAACTCGTTAGTGCTTTGCAAAACGCTGTACACATACTAGTATAATAACTGCTCCAGAATTAGAGAAACAGATTTCTGAATTAATATCAAACTAAACTGTATACATGTACAGTACATGTAATTAACAAGCAAACTTGTTATGAAAAGAAAATGACATTCTTTTTGCAAAATAATAGCAGAGAAGATTTTCTGTGACATTGCAGGACTCAGGAGTCATTGCCAATATCTGGAAGGTACTACATGTATTAGTTGGATTTAAACTTAAACTTAACTCATTCACCCCTACATATCTAACCTGGACTTATCCAGTCTTTGATTTGGTTAGGTTCAAATGTGACTTAGGGGTGAATGGGTTAAAAGTTTTTCAGGTTGACATACTACTGCGCTATGCCTTACACTGTCATTACATACTTGATATGTGATATATTACATTAGTGGCTAGACTATAACCGAGATGACATCTGTGCTGTATGAGAACCTGATGATCCATTGTAACCACCATTGACAGTTGGGTATACAATGTTGGGGTTCTTACCCTATCTGATCTAAACTTTCAGTTTGGAGAAGTAATTTCTAGTTTCTGACCCAGTGCATATGTGGCCTTATAGGGACAAAGTTTCAACAAATTAAAGATAAAATGTGCTTTCTAACAGTTTTGAAATCCCGCTACTCAAATACAAAACAGTTTCACACGTTTATAACTCCCAGACAAAAAATAGCACCAAATTGAATGCTGGAATAAAAAGGTGTAGAACACATTAGATGACATTGTCACATGGAATCCCATGGGAGGCCTAGCCTTCATTGCTTTGTTTATACCAAACAACAGTTCACTAGGCTAAGGTACAGTAATTACGAGTCTAAAAAAGAAATTTGCCCTTTTGACATTTAAAACGTTTTATACTGGTAGATAAAACCAGATTTGCTGTTGAAGAAGCTATAACGAACCTATTACTTCAGTTCTACCTGTTGTATGTCCAAAAAATCAAAATACCCTTTTGTCAATTTATACCACACTATTGTGTAAGTCAGTGGAAGCTTGTAGGGTAATCTTTCCAGTAAAGGTGAATAAAAAGTATGAAGCATGTTTAGCGACAGTATTTCTAGATTGTTTCCTGTCTGTGTGTTAAGGTCAGAGTATCTCACACACTATGACATAACACTGACATTTATATACTGCCATTAAAGGCTGGAAGGCGACAGAGACCAGATACTGGTACCAAAAAGGATCTGTTTTTTACAATTGATTACAATTGATTTTTTAGAAAACACATTTAAATGCTTTGAATAACAGGAAACTAATTACATTTTATCTAATAATCTGTTTAAATTTTTAAATTGCTATACATGTCCGTGACATCTTACAATGACCACATCTGCTAAATGGTGACATTTACTGTGAAAAGTTCATGATTTTTATAGAAATCTGTAACTAAAGCAACTTAAAATAGATGGAATTTTGTGAAGAATGTTGTTTTCTGCAAGTGGCAGGGACCCTAACATATGTTGTAACATGATATTTATTATATGAGGCCAAAAAATATTACTTCTGTTTCCGCTATATATCCTCCTGAGAAAGAAAAGGGTAGGTAGGAAGGCAATTTTTTTTTATTTTGGAATTATTTTTACTTTGC